AAAAGAAACGTAAGGAAAAAAATCCATTAAGGACAAAAGCTTATCGCATCACCTAGGCTGGACCTATTAGTGCACTACACCAACTCCTCGAAAACAGCACTGGCTATGTCTTTGCTGGAGTGTGATGTGATTGGTGTCATGTACAGGTACAATGGATCGCGTACAAACCAACAAGGTGTCGGAATGGTATATGGTTATAGTTCTCATCAAACCACAATCAAATTCACTCATCTCTCTCTCTCTCTCTCTCTATATGTATATATATATATATATATATATATATATATATATTTTACGATGACAAGTTGGAATGAAAACAAGACGAAATTGAATAGGAGTAATGAGGCTATTTTTAAAATGTAAGGAGTAGGAAGTAATGGTGTCAAAATGTAGACGTAAAAAGTCAATAATTACTCCAGTAAAGTAGATACACAACATTTCTACTTAAGTAAGGTAACAAAGTATTTGTACTTTTTTACTTGACATCTTTGCTTACAGGATCTTTATGATTTAAAATACACTGCGAAAGAAAACCATTGTGAACTGTTACAGTAATAATGGTAATAAAGACAGATTGTTTGTTTTGCACCACCAGCATGAGTGATAGGGAGTATTGACAGATCTTAATTTCACCATGTGAATCCTTCAGAAATCATACTAATAGAGTTGGTGCTGGGGTTACATTTTTACTGTAATTGTTATTTACATTTATTCATGTATCCAAAGCGACTTACAATTGTTATATATGTCAGAGGTCTCACGCCTCTGTAGCAACTAGGGGTTAAGTGTCTTGCTCAGGGACACATTGGTGTCTCACAGTGGATTCGAACCCGGGTCTCTCACACCAAAGGTATGTGTCTTATCCACTGCGCCATCACCACCCCATGTTACAGTAATGTTATTAAAGTTGAAAACTTAATGTTGCTTAAATGTCTTCACTTTAAGTTTACTGTAAAGTTAATGCATTCTTACTGAATAAAAGTATTATCAAAACTGACTTTGAATATATTCTCTGCCTTAAAATCTTACGGTTTGTGCCAATGCAATGCCTGTCATCAAAATGATTGACAACTAACCTACCAGAACTGTCTGATACGCTGTTACTCCCAGATACAAGGCATCTGCAGCCAACCACTCTAAACCACAAGTAATGTATTAGATTGCGTTTAATAGTGGCTTGCCCAGTGTATGGCTACAACATCCATTTATATTTTGCAGCAATTTCCCATGGGATGAAGACACTGCTCAGTTCGCATATTGTTTTTTCTACATTTGTATTCGCAAAATTCGCAAATGCCATCAGTATGTTTGCTTTGGTCATGCCATTAAAAGAGAGAGAGGCCAAGCGCCTGTTCTCAGACAGTGAGTGATGCCATGAGCTTCAAACACAGTGAAGAGGTTAAGTACCTATTATGGGATTGTGGAGGCGTAATAAGGGTTGATGGAGTAGACGCAGGCTTGCCACCACAGCCAGGGCCCAGAGATCCCCACACTCTCTGAAAAGAGAGCGTGAGAGAGAAAGAGAGAGAGAAAAAGAAAGAAAGAGTGAGAGCTCCCCTTCTGTCCCCTTTCTCCCCTCTCTGACACTAATATGGAAAAAAACATGTTTTGAGTGAATACGAATGCAAATATTATTCTTCCTGACTATTACCACTGCAAGCACCTCTGCGCGGGCAGCCAAAGCGCTGGACAAAAAGGCCAAAGACTTTCTCAGTGCCTTCAAAGAGAGCCTACATAAAATAAACACCGCCATCAGATTACAGCCGCTAACATGGCTCAGTGTTAGGCCGAGGCTGGGCGCGCAACTGCCCGGTAAGTGTGGGGTCCGCTCAGTCAACACGATGACGCAGAACGGAACAAAAGCACGACAGAAAAAGCAGGACTGTCGGAAGACAGCCCCAACCCGCAGCACCGCTGACCCCACCGCCGCTGCCCAGACCCAGAAGAGAGGAGAGAAACGAGGGGACGAGAGGAGCGCGGAGGACAGATGAGGTGGGATGGCCAAAGGGCCTGAGCCGGGAGTTGAGGTGTGGTGTGCATTTTGGACGAGACCCCTAAACCCGAGACCAGAGCGGAGACTCCCAGTGAAGGCGAACCTGAAAGAGAGCAAATATAAAACAGAAGGAGGGGCAAGGAAAGGTGGGGAGAGAAATGCAGAGCAAAGGTTAGGGTGGAGTGAGAGAAGCTGGATGAGAGATGTAGGGAGAGGTAAAAGGGACATCCGCGTGGAATGGATGATGTTTAGACACAACGGGAACGTCGCCGGTGGATAACCTCTCGGTGTGACATCACAGGGCTCTTCTAATACGGTGGGCAGCGATGATGTAATCCGCCTGGCAGCAGGAGAAAGTGAATCGGTCCCAGAGGAGAGCTTGGGTGTTTCACTCGTCCCGCGTCTAACCTCAAACCTACACACAGTCTCTCTTTCCCATGAACGCACACACACACACAGTCCATTTCATATTTCTCTTTTACATATCAAGGATTCGCTTCTTTAAGAATGCCAATGAGCACGTGTTCACTCCCTCTCTATTCATGGATAGAAATACACGCAAATATGCAAGGATAGATTTTCTCTCTCATACACACACACACACACACACACACACACAGACTTTGTCAGAGCAGGCAGGGTAGGAAACTCAGGGCAGCTCAACCTCATTGACCGCACTGGCTGCAGACACATGCGCACACACGTCTCCATTTATACTATTCGCCATCTTTTTGGACTAACATAATGTAGATTTTTTTTTTCTTTTTTTAACTCTAAAAGTTTTCGATGCATTCCTCAGATTGGATATTTCAGACTTACTGTAATTTGTTTTACTGTAATATATTTGCTCATACATGGTTGAATATGCAAAACGGTCATCTGTAATAACAGGACCCAATGAAATTTAATTTAATTTATATGTATGTGTCAAATAGGATGCAGAGTTTGAATTTAGGCAGTATGAACTGAAATTCAATTACTGTAACTGTAATTTTAACCAACAGCATAGCTTGGCAAAGATAGATAGATAGATAGATTTTCTGCAGCGTCAGTAAAATATCTAAAATCAGGACAATTCCCCTTTCTCTGTGAGAACTTTAAACTATAGGCCTATGGTATTTTTTTTTTTTTTTCATGTGTGTTTTGTATATTTTGTTTAGTATTTTAGGCCTATGTTTTGTTACCCTTGAACAACAGATAAGGAACTTCAGCTGAGGAACAGCTGGTGGCCTTGGGGTTCAGGTTTTTTGGGTCGACGCCTGGAAAGCCCCAAATTGTGTAATGAAGGCAGACCTCAATAAGAACAGGATTAATACTGTCAGACTCTAAACATGTGCTTTTGTCTGAATTTTGAAAACGTGAACATCATCCAATATTATATGTGCAGAAGACAAGTTGTACACGGTCAAAGACACAGCTATAAGAACACACAGACATCCCGACCCTCCCTTTCTCTCTTTCCTGACTCAGCAGTTTTGTAGGAAACCTGTCTTGCTTTGAAGATGCAAGAATCTATCATTACTTGAGAGATGTAGAAAAAGAAAGCAACGTGAGAATAAGTGCTCCATTGTCTACCCCTCACCCCCCTTCCCTCTCTGCCTCCGAAAAAAATAATTGTGTTGTCCTAATTACAGAGAGGAACTTCAACAGGTGCGGGGAGCAGCACCTGGAGGAATGGGTGTAGATCTTCGCTCAGAGTGCATGTGTGTGTTTTATGGCTGGCCATGTGAGCAATACAGACACACACTTTTTAAGGACAGGGCAGACAGTGACACAGAAAAAGGATGGGGAGGCTGACTGTTCACATCAACACTGGCATCACTGACCCATAGCTGTATGACCAGCACTATGCCTGAAAAACATCTTTACTGCTTTAACTCAAATAATAATCATCAATTATTCCATGATGAAAGGATGACAAGTTCAAAACAGCCCAAGAACAGTCTCGCTCATAAACCACACAGATTTGCAAATCAGAAGTCGTATAGTAACTTAATTGATTAAATTTCCACCACAGGGAGGCTGAATCATGACTCACACAAATCTGCCACCGACTTGAGACGATGACATGGCGCGGGTGATGGGGTTAACAAGGGCTGGTGCCGTTGGCTGGACAAATTTAAAATCCAGAGTGATGTAAACGGCTCTCACGGGATCGCATTCTTACCGTAAAAACGGCATAATGAAACAATTGACCGGAAGGAACGGAGATCTGGCACGTTGTCAAGATACAACGCGGAAAAGACAACACAGATTTACAATAAATGTGGATTAAAGACTTCACATGACGTCAGAACACGTCTTGGGAATTTTTTTTTCATATCCTCAAAAACATGTACATCTAAACAAATGAAGCAAGGATGGGCTTGACGCCACTTTTGGGTCAATAACATAGTGTTTATTTTCGAACGTCACTGTGAGTGAGAAGGTTGTTTTATCACTAATAAGAAACTACAAACAGTAGCCTGTGTTCTCCGTCACAACATAGATAGCTCTGCAATAAATATAGGCTACACGCCAAACTACACTTAACCCTGGGCGACGTTTTACTTTTAACCCTGGGTCAAAAGCTATAGCATAGGCTAATGCAGTGCAGAGGGCGGTCAAAGGTTGTTTTATCCTGCACGCTGCTTTTCATGTGATTTTCTACGGAGTCCCTAAGTGGTGGGAAAAATATGAGATGGACAAAAATTATTTTTCAATGCTTTTACGTTCTCTCACAACGTTTCTAAGTTTCTCAGGGAATGGAGTATATTTCGCGTCTCTAACGCATTTCACTGGGAAACGCAAAACATTTGCGAGCGAACACAAAACTATTGTTCCTCCCATCTCCGTTTTTATAACTTACTCCGTGTCTTTCCAAGTAGCCTAATATCACGCTAGAAGTTCGTGTTTGAGATGAGTAGCCTATCCTGTGCGTGTGGAGAACGTTTGCGTAAGGGAACGTAATTACCTTACCTTATATCCCTTAAGGGATGGTTCGGAATAAACTCAGGTCCAAATGGTTTCTGAATGGTTCAAGGCTGAAAGCATGAGTTGAAGGCACGCTTCCCAGCCGCTGAGAGCAAGAGAGCGAACAGGTATGCTCTTTTATTTAGCGGCTAATGGAACTCCTGCGAAAACTCCTTTTGATAAATGGACTAGCCTGCACTCAAAACATTCATAGGTTGTGTAAACTTTACCTGGAGCTCAGGCACTGCATTGGCCTGAAATTATTGATTTATTCCTTACATATGAATATTGCTCCATGATAAAAAATAAATAAATAAATAAATAAAAAATCGGGAACATTGTAGGATACTTGATGAATTCATGTTCACCCATTCACCAAATAGCTACCTTTGCACACACTGTTTGCCTTCCATGTCCTCTTGACAGTAGGCCTATATTTTGTGTGTGTAACATGCACAGCTGTTTGGGAGGATTGGGCTACTTTAAAAATGTATTCCGTTACAGTTACAAATTACTTCTTAAAAAAAAAATCAGTAACGTAATCCAAGTACCACAATAGGAAAGTAGCTAATTTAACTGATTACTTTTGGATTACTTCAAAGACAGATATTATTTTAAAAAACGACAACTTTTATGTTTTATGTATCACCATGAAACTTTCTCAGTTGATTTCTTACACAAGTATATAAAAAAATGTATTATTAGTTTTTGAAATTTGTATGTTTAATTATGCAAATTAGGCCTTACCTCATTAAATATGTGCAAGTTTGCATATATTTTCAGTAGATAGATCTGAACATATGATAAAGCATACGACGGTTTTTATGAAAAATTATTTTTTAATTTTGTTTACGTACAAGATGAAAAAAAAAAGTTCAGAGGGATTTCAGGATATATGCTTTTCTATATACCTTTAAATAATCGATTTCGCCATATTGTTTTTATTAAAATGCCACATAAATCCGGCCAGGAATGATTTATTAACAAATCCCTCTGAAATTATCTTCAGAATACTGTTAAGTGTATAACTACAAAGTGTGGTGTACATAGGTGCTACATAGGCTGAGAAGTTTTGAATGACAAAAAAACAACATAAAACTCATTTTGAGAAAAAGGCATTTAAAGATTTAAGTATAGGGAATTTAATACATTTCTATTGGAAAAAAATGCTCAAAAACCGACACTATGTTGCTGTCTGAGTAGATGCTTTCAGCTTTAAAAAAAACATTCAGAAACCATTTGGACTCTAGGTTGATTTTACTCCGAACCATTCCATGGTTCTGCAAACTGTTCAAAGGGCTTTAAATGATTCCAGACGATGAATAAGGGTATTATCAAGCGAAATGATCGCCCATTTAAAAAAACAAAAACAAAGTTTAAGTTTTATAGGCTCAAGTGGTCGCCTTGCTCTGTTCTGTTGTGTGCTTTTGTGACTCTCCTGTTCGAACTCGTTCATCAAAATGAACAAATCTTTTCCCGAGTCAATTCGTTCATTTCGTTCATTGAATGAACCAAATGATACGAAAAAAGATTTGTTCATTTTGATAAACAAGTTCGAACAGTTACAGTAGAGTCACGAATGTGCGTCACAGAAGAGAGCAAGGCGACCATTTGAGCTTATAAAACTTAAACTTTGTTATTATTATTTTTTAAATAAGCGATCATTTCGTTTTAATAGGACCCTTATTCATCGTCTGGAATCACTTAAAGCCCTTTGAACAGTTTCCAGTTTGTACTGAAAGTGTCTTTTGGACCTTGAACCGTTTGGTTCCCATTGAAGTGCATTATATGGAGAAAAATGCTGGAATGTTTTCATCAAAAACCTTAATTTCTTTTCGACTGAAGAAAGAAAGACATGGACATCTTGGATGACATGGGGGTGAGTAAATTATCAGCAAAAGTTTTTTGAAAAGTGAACTACTCCTTTAAGCTTGGTTATGAAATGACACAAAGTGAGCGCCATAGAATGAACAATTTCGAGCGGCATATTCAGGTCGTGTAATGGCAGTGCATGATGTTCGTGACTCTGTGCTCAGTTCAACATTTTATGACAGTCAGTTACAGCTTGAAAAGTATAGTACTAGTCTCTGCAGGGCACAAAAAAAAGATTACACTAAAACTTAATAGTAATTTACTACATTAAATTCATTAAAATTATACTATTTTAAAGGGGTGGTAAAATGCTATTTTCACAAGATGTAAAATAAATCTCTCTCTGGATAAATAAATCCGGAGTGTGTGTGTCAAGTTTTAGCACAAAATTCCCTCACAGATATTTTCATATAACTTTTTGTCACTTTTTATATATCACTTTTTGAGGGCTTGCAAAAACGCACCGTTTGGTGCCTGGCCCTTTAAATGCAAATGAGCTGCTGCAGAGGGCGGGGTTTCAAGTGTGTTAGCAGCTGCGATTTCCTCACGCAGACACACTAAAACTGTTCTGCCTTTAATGTTAAAACGGAGTCAGTCAAAGATGGAGAGACTCAAGAAGAAGTGACAACATGTAGAATACAACAGGACGTCTGTGAATGGTTAGTTGATGAATTTATGTTGCTGATGTGGAGCTGATGTGGAGCCTTCAATTAAGATATTTTGTCATTTAATCTATAAATCACTCATATAGGAACTGTTGTGAGATGCACACAGAGTGATTTTCTATTGCATGTAAAAAGAAGGATGCTAAAGTTTGAGCTGACTCCCAAATGTACTCTTATACAAACACTCTTCCTCTCCTTAACATGAACTGCGTGTTCGTGGGGGCGGGGTTTTTGTACATTTTAGGGTTGGTGATGTCACTAACCCTAGAACAATGCTGTGTAGTCCCTACCAGCCACTTGTTGTAATCTTTTTCTTTAAAAGCAAGTATCTTCCTTTGCTTTGAACTTTGAGCATTGTAACTTTGATAATGTTGTTCATGCTCAAACAGCAACATTACACACTAACTAAAGTTAGAAAAGTGAAATCATACTTTACCGCCCCTTTAATTAAACAACATACAATGTAACACAAGTTTGTATAATTAAATTAATTATTTTACCTTTATTAATTCAAATAGGCTACATCAGCGTCATATAATATGCATACCCCTATGCTCCCTGATCCCTAACCCCACCCCTAATCTTACCAATCTCTGCCCCCTGATCCCTAACCCCACCCCTAAACCTGCAATCCCCACTCCCTGATCCCTAAACCCACCCCTAACCCTACCCATCTCCGCCCCCTGATCCCTAATCCTACCAATCTCCACCCCCTGATCCCTAACCCCACCCCTAATCCTACCCGTCTCCACCCCTTAGATCTGGATCCAATTCCGCCCCCTGGATCTCGTGTACTGCAACGAGGTGCTACTGGATTTGTCTGCATGTGTTGACACTAGAAGGGTTTCAAATTCTACAAATGCAAGTGGGGATCAACAAATTCACTGGAAGCGATCCACAAATGCTTGCAGCGATTCACAAATGTGCAGAAAGCGATTCATAAATGAATTCCAGGCAGAATTATGTTTGTGACATTAAACACATTTGTTATATTTGCTAATCTTTTTTTCTTTTTTTTTTGGTGAAACTCTACATTTATTTTGTGGATCTTAATCCATTTATTTGGAATAATGCAACAATTCTAACCCCATAGTATATACTCATGATGGGGGAGGAGAGAGAGTGAGCATGAGGGATATTTGAAGAAAGACTGTAGAAAGCAAGATGTCTGAGAGACATTACAAAAGAGAAAAGGTCAGAGTAATATTACTAGAAAAAGAAGGGTTAGGATCAGGGAAGAGCTTGAGGACCTGCGTTATTATTAGAAAAGCTTTCCAGCGCTTGAGAGACCTCTGGAAGGTCGGAAAACTGAGGTTGCGTTGTTTCTGCTTCATAGTAACATTGGTTTCAAGTGTCTGCTTCTGGTGACTAACAACGAGCTTGTATATACTCATGTACTGTATATTAATTTTTGTTAAAAAAATTAAAATCTTGTTTTGCAAAGCCTGTCACTCTTGCATTGCATATTCGAGCATAATGGGGTCGGAGAAATGAAGGGATTGTGTGTATGTGTGTTTGAGTTGATTTCAAATATCATGTTATTAATATATGTACAACAATGATTCTCAGCAAAAAATCGTGAATTTCACCTTTACCATATAAAGTTAAGAGCAGATCGGGAACACACACATACATATAAAGCGTAACTTAATTGTAAATGTACATTTATTTGTATCATATTAAGTTAACACCAATAATAAAATGTTCCTTTTGTCACTGCCTAGTGTTGTCGTAGTAACATTCCCATGTGAAGCTAATGAGGAAAATTACATTGACTTTAGTTGCTCCCTTTACCAAGTGCGTTCCAAACGGCTTCATGAAACAGAAATGCTCCCTCCAAAGTCCACACTTCAAAGGCTCTGCCCTTCGGAGTAAGCAGGACATAGGGATGCGCACTTCCGATTGGAATTTGCCCTTAGTAAAGATCAACTTGGGCTATATGAACAGTATCACAGAAAAAGATAACCCTTAATTATGTTTACCCAGGGTTTACCCTGGCTTCAAAGTAGTAGAACTATCAAAATGCCATATTACCCACAAAAATATATATCCTTGTAAACATTGGTTCCATGGAAACTAGAGTTATTAGGCTACTGCAGTAAAATTGTGATAACTTGGGATTATTTGAACCGTTATCAAATTAAAAATAAATCCCCATATTAATTTATTATGGTTTTCAGTAGTAACAATATCTATAGTAACTGTGGTATTCAGGCGTAAACTAGTATGTGGTTGCCCTGGTAAATAAGGGCACATGATTCAAGTATCAGTATTTCCACTGTAAACACATGGCATATAACAAGTGGGCCATTTAAAATTCAAAACCCTTCTAGAATCCCATAATATACATTTTCAGGATACTGTTCCACGACAATATATGTCATAAGTGATTTGCCTTTTTAAAGTACTGGTGGTTTAACTGACCAGTGGTGTTTCTCACTAACTAATCATTGAATCCATTGCGATCATGCCACCCAGTGTTGATTAATAGAACAGCAGGTGGCCTCCGCAGACTCTCAAAAAAGTATGAGAATCCATTAATAATAATAATAATAATAATAAAACATGCCAGGGGATATATGTAATTTTTATTTATTACAGAAATACAAACAGTGAAAAACCTACTTTAACAGAACATTAGAAGACTGTAAAATAACAGGCTGGCATTTATCATTGCAACCAGGCAATGAATTTCCTGTAACATAAATCTAACCAATGGTAACCAATGCGATTAATTATGCATATTCATAATTAAGCCAGTGTATTTCCTTTAAAATCAAACAGATGTGCTTGATAGGCAAAGAAAGAAGGAATGTCATGTCATTCAAGGAATGATTTGTACATGTACAGGCCCTTATGTAGCCTACTATAGTATCTAAAGACTGATAGTTTCTCTATATGAGAACTAGATAATGTTCATAATTTCACAACTGGAATGAAGTAATGTTACAGTCTAGTCCTCTGATTAGCAGGAAGTTCATCCTGGTCGAGCCCCCACAGGAATGTTCGCAGGCGTGTCACTTCCTTCAGTAGATCAGGGCTTGGGATTGGCTGAGTCAGGTCCAGGCGAGGTGTCTCGTTAGGCAAGATAAGAGGAGGATGGTCCAAGAAACTCTCAAAAATATCTGAAAAAATGTGAATAATATTACATTTATTTATTCAAAAATACAGTAAAATGTTTAATATTGTGATTTTTTTAAAATGTTTTTGAAAGAAGTCTTTTAAGCTAACCAATAATACATTTATTTATTCAAAAATACCATAAAAAATTGTAATATTTTATTTTCTTACAATATGATATAATAATATCATATTGTAAGAATATGAAATAATTGTAACAATATGAAAATAAGTTGTTAATTTATTAAGGTTGTTGCTCACCACTTCCAAGCTCTGTACCGAGAGGCGGAGCCCATGAGGATGGTGGGGCTCTCGTTGGTCCAAGTTTATAATGTGTGAGAAGATGGTGAAGCTGGGAAGGATTTAGCAAGGAATGTTCTTCCTGTAAACTTGACCAGGATGACTGAAGGAAGAGAGTGGAAATGTATTAAATATCATTGTGCTAGATTTTATTTTCATATTCAGCGCAGCGTGTTTGTTCTCAGACTCTCACCTGAATAAGGCGTGTTTTAGGTATGCACAGGAAATTGACCGTAACTGATAGTTTCTTTAGAAACTCTGATGCAATATCTCCAAGGCCTGCTCCTTGTAGCCAGTCTAGAACCAGGTCCAGATTTGTTCGAATTTGAACCGCACGGGACCAAGAGAACAGACTGTCTGTTTAAGACGGAACGAACAAAACATTTTCAACATCACACTGCTGGTCCAGCCGTAAACTCATTGCCATCACAAGTCAGCTCCTGTCATTGCTGCTCGAAACCATGTGCAAACACAACTGTATTTATGAAAGATTGTAAATTCTCACCTCTCTCCAAGAGCGTGTTGAGAAGAGACGTGTTTGTGAAGAAGAAGAGGTAGCCAAATGTTTGGGAGGTTAGCGGTGGAGAGAGGCAAGCTTCTCGGGAAAGCTGCAGAGAGCAGCGATACACTTCCACCAGTCCAGCCACGGTGGGCGGCAAAGTCGAGACGTCCTCTTCCTCGTCTCCTTCACCTTCACTACCTGCTCTGTCCTTGGCGCCTGCTTTTCCTTTCTTCTTCTCCTCACTGGAGAAGGGGTTAGTGTCTAACAGTGCTGGGAGGAGGGAGTATAATGTCTGAAAGAGAGATGAAATGAGATCAATATATATAATACATTATATTAAAAATGGGTCATTCAAGCAGCGCTGATGCACATTCTCTCACCTTGGTCAGATGGTAAACACATTGCTGAAAGGTGTGCATAATGACGTCATCCAGCTGTGCCAGCGCCTCAGAACAGGTGTCCATGTCAGCCGAAAGCACAGGGTCACCCGGGGCTATAGATTAATGTGAGACAAAACTTAAAGTAGTAGTTCACTTTAAAAAAAAACTTTTGCTGATAATTTACTCACCCCCATGCCATCCAAGATGTCCATGTCATTCTTTCTTCAGTCAAAAAGAAATTAAGGTTTTTGATGAAAACATTCCAGCATTTTTCTCCATATAATGGACTTCAATGGTCCAAAAGACACTTTCAGTACAAACTGCAAACAGTTCAAAGGGCTTTAAACGATTCCAGACGATGAATAAGAGTCTTATCAAGCGAAACGATCGCTCATTTAAAAAATAAATAACTAAGTTTAAGTTTTATAAGCTCTAATGCTCGCCTTGCTCTGTTCTGTGATGCACGTTCGTGACCCTGTTCGAACTTGTTAATCAAAATGGACGAATCTTTTTCCGGGTCATTTGGTTCATTCAACGAACGAATTGACTCGGAAAAAGATTCGTTGGTTTTGATGAACGAGTTTGAACAGGAGAGTCACGAACATGCATCACAGAACAGAGCAAGGCGAGCATTAGAGCTTATAAAACAAACTTTGTTGTTTTGGGTTTTTTTTTTAAATGAGCGATCGTTTCGCTTGATTAAGACCCTTATTCATCGTCTGGAATCGTTTAAAGCCCTTTGAACAGTTTGCAGTTTGTACTGAAAGTTTCTTTTGGACCTTGAACCATTTGGTTCCCATTGAAGTCCATTATATGGAGAAAAATGCTGGAATGTTTTCATCAAAAACCTTAATTTCTTTTCGACTGAAGAAAGAATGACATGGACATCTTGACATGTGGGTGAGTCAATTATCAGCAAAAGTGAACTACTCCTTTAATATACATGACTCAACATGTCCATAAAATAACATGGAGAAATATTCAGACCATCCCAGGTTTATTCACATTGATCATTTATAGTAATTTCAATTAGTTTCAGCATAATTCGTTCATTGACAATAAAAAGTTATTTTATGAGCTCATCTTTGAGGGAAAACTTGCTGCTTGTTGACAATACACAATGTTATCACATGACGAGTACATTTTGACATTTGGCAAAGCCATGAGCCATAAGTCAGTAGTTTGAATACAATCAAACTATGAATGTGAATCAGGCATATTCTGCAGGTCATGATGTTTGCTTAGACTAGCAAGTTTACCAAAAAAGGACAAGATGGGATAGTTTAGAGATGAGAGAAAACTGATTTATTTGAACAAAAGACATAACACGTCTACAGCAGAAGATATGGCACATTGTGTAATGCAAGTATTTTTGGTTTTCAGAAAACATGCTGTAATCGCTGATCTCTCGCTCACCTTCAAATTCCCATTCTTTTTCCATGGCTTCGACTTTGACCTGAAAGAAGTTGAGGAGCTCCGTGGCGTTGGACATCCAGAACATGAGAGGTTGAAGGTCAGATGAGAGCTTCTGCATGCTTGGGGGAGGAAGTTCAACTTCAGCTTCTGCTGGACTGAACAACCATATTTTTTTTAAACATTATTTAACTTCTGCATTGTACACAATATGCACACATATATATTGATACATTGCTCTGTTTGATTTATTTGTTTCATAATATGTTTTTAAAATTTGGATACATGGTTGGTCACCATCTGATATTTTTAGCTTGTGGCATATCACTGTAAAAAAAATATTGTTGGTTTAACTTAAAAAAGTAACCTGGTTGCCTTCAAATTTCAAGTTCATTGAAATGGAAAAATTGAGTTAAAGTTGATTTGACAAAAGAAAAAATGTTGTGATAACAAATCATGAAAAAAATTTTTAAAGTGAGAATAGTTTTATAATTTCTAACGTTTTCAAACTCTTAAGGCCCGTTCACACCAAGAACGATAACTATATTAGCGTCCACACCAGCCGATGATATCATTCTGTTTATTCCAAGCTTGGAATACAGTTTTGCCAATCCTGCTTTAAAGAACTTGAGCATTTGAAGCGGTAGACAGTCTAGGCTGATAGGCTGTCATTGTTTTCATCACTTCCATTAGCTGGAAAAAAAATCTGAAAGTGATTCCAATGACATTGTTTCTTTGTGTTATTGTCATTATAGGTGTGGTCTGGATTCTGCTATTCTTTGATATTGAGAAAGAATTTTTGAACTATATCTTTGTCGTTAGCATTATAGTTATCGTCCTTGGTGTGAACGGACCTTTAGAGGAAAATGTTATACACAGATGAGCCAAAAAATTATAACCAGGCACTGGTGAAAAGAAAGAATATCTTTGAACATCTCCTAATAAGGCCATGTATTGAGGTCTGGGTAGATTAGATAGCAGTCAGTTCTTGTTATGCATATGCAACTTGCTGGATGCATTAGAAATGGCCGCCTTATGGCAAGGTGACTAGGTCAGAGAACCTCTGAAACGGCAAGGCTTGTGGGAGTCAATAATTGGATTGTTATTGCAGTGCTTATTGTGTTTCTAGCATGTTATATGTTTGGCAACAGTTGTTTTAACTAATTGATGGAGTGTGTAGTTTAATTTTTTTTTTTAAACAACCATTTAGGAAGACACTTATGTAGACTTTATTGAGTCATGACTCTTGCGTTGTCAATACAAGATCTTGACCAAAAAATGATGTACCTCTTGATGGAAATACATGTTGTGATGTTTTTTTCCATCAAGAGGTGCGTAAATTTTTGGTCAAGATCTTGTATTGACAATGCAAGAGTCAAGCACGCTATAAAGTTTACTCCAGCACATCCCAAAGACTTTCAATGATTTTAAGGCCAGGACTCAGAGGTGTTAATCCATGCGTGAAAATGATTTTTCATGCTTCCTCCCAACCATTCTTTCACAATTTGAGTCTGAGGAATCTTGACATTGTCATCCTGAAATATGGCCATGATGTGTCTTTCACATGGTTGATTAAGACATAAAAATCTGCACACTTTATCAATCAGGATTAGAAGAACTGTTGCCAAACATACAGTACAACATGCTAGAAACATAATAATCACAGCAATAATGATCCAGTCATTGACTCTTAAGCATTTGCCTATTTAAGTACAAACAGCAAATTATTTTTTTTATATTTATTTATTTTTTGGTCAGGCAATGTATATAAATTAATTATTGTGTAATATTATTTCATTAAATATATACAATTATTTTGTATACATTAGTTATATATTTAAACATTAAATAAATAAAATCACAACACATGCTCAGTGCTGGGTAATGTGATAGGAATTCACTGTTTACAGGCCTGTCACTGAGCAACAATGTTTGAACAGTGTATACAGATCTACAGCATGGAGAGGTAGTGCAGGTTCTTACTTTTGTGTTGGATGTTTGTCACCGAACTCTTTAATTTTGTCCTGAAAGATGAATAATGGAACAGAGAGAGAGAGAGAGAGATTAAAGCAGACTCGAATGAATGCATGGGTGGGAGTGTTTGGCTGATGTGTCCGGACAATGACAGCACATTTTCCAAACGGGTGGAAATGACATCAGTCAACCTCTGTTTACAAACTACGGTGAAATTCCAATGAAAGCCTATCTGTGTCTGCAGCTGTGGCTCCTCAACCACAGTTTAACAGTGCAGAGAGAGAGTCCATTTTAAGACACTCCCGCCCAACACTCTCAGATAAACTATTAGTGTTTGTTGTGTGCTTTAACGGTTACTCCAGGTTTATCTGTGCCTTGGTTTGACAAAACAACTTTGCGTGAGCCAAAGAGGAGAGAAAAAAGTGTAAGGAACAGTGATGGCCTGTCATGTTCAATATCACCTTAATAGCCGTTACGTAACACAGCCCAACCCTGTGCTTCACTTTACTCTTAATAAAGGTTGTGGTTTTACATTTTATGATATCATAATAGTTCATGCCATCTAGACCAGTGGTTCCCGGCCTATTTTGTCCCATGAGTGAGGCTCAAGCACCGCTTCATCAACATCGAATCAGACGTAATGTGTTCACTTTTACTTATAGTAATTTTAATAATATTGATATTCATGTTAAATTAGGCACTGTATAATATAATTACAATGATTCACTTAAAAACATATCTGATAGTTAAACATTGTTAAAATAATAAGTATAATTCAATTATTATAAACTGTCATTTCTGTTTTATAGGTTTAACGAAACAGAAAGCACTTTTGGACACTTACCCAAACAATTCCTTTGATCTGATTGGCTGCCTTTAAAAGCAGTTGTGGTGTTAATTCAGGATCCAGATGTTTAGAGGCGTAGTCAATCATGAGCGACAGAAGATAGGCAGGTGCTAAGGCCCCGCCCCCTGAATCTGGACTGGAATTCTTCGAAATAATTTCCTGAAATTAAAGTAGAAGTAGTAACCGATTTGTATAAACAAATATTATGGTGCCATGGCAAAACTGGAACTACTGCAGTATTTGTTACACCAGTGATTATATTTTTCCTAAAAGAGGTTTCATTCCAACACTCACTGAGGATGCCGTATTATAAACCTTTACGCAGCAATGTTGGCTGAACTGTGCTGTGATTTTTAAACAGCTGCAGTCCACAGATTTCCATTCAGTAAATCATTATGATAAAACCCCCCTGTCAGAACTCGGTATTTACATGCACTACTGTTTGTTTATGGCAGATATATCAGAAGGAGGATCCGATCGTATCAGTGTTTACCTGCAGCAAGGCATCGGCATGTTTGGCCTGGAATCTCAGTAGTGACTCTGTGGACCCCAGATACTGCCGAAGCATTTCCTGCCTATCTGTCATCCCACCAGGGCCGTAGGAAGTTGACATGTCACCTTGCCATGGTGGCGGTAAGGCCAGGGGCGGTGCGGGGGTCACACGGGGGTCACGGTAAAGGAAAAGGAAGTGGCTGCCCAGACCCAACAAGTCTCCTGGCTTTAGGGCTGCTTCTCTATAAAGTGGAGCTCCATTGAGAGTGACAGGTCCTCCTCTGAATGGACGGGCCAAGGCTAAGAAAGAATGAGAACAAGAAGCATAATTGGAGACAGTATTGGGCAAGCTATTCAAAACATGTTTCTAGCTGAACTAGCGACAGAAGAAAAATAGCTTAAAGGAGTAGTTCCCTTCGAGTCATGACTCGAAAAATGATTTGTTCATTTTGATGAATGAGTTTGAACAGGAGAGTCACGAACGCTCATCACAGAACAGAGTAAGGCAAGCATTTGTGCTTATAAAACTTAAACTTTGTTATTTATTTTTGAAATGACCGATTTTTTTCGCTAGACAAGACCCTTATTCATCATCTGGTGTCGTTTAAAGCCCACATGTCGTTTAAAATATTCATTTATTTTCGACTGAAGAAAGAAAGACATGGACATCTTGGATGACATGGGGATGAGTAAATTATCAGCAAAAGGTTTTTTTTTTTTTTTTTTAAAGTGAACTACTCCTTTAAGCTAAGCTAAGCTAAAAGCTGAAAAGGCTAAAAGCTAAAAGTACATTTCAAAAGTAGCTTGCTATGCATATTTTAACAAATATGAAATATTTAAAACAGTAAGCTGTAATTTTATCTAAAATACTTACACGTTTAAACCGAATCCCCCAAAAGAATTAATACAGAAAACTATATTGTTAGTTGCTGTTTGTGCAAACTGAATAATTACTATATTCATGAACAATGTACAATGTACCGTACATACAGAACAAAAATACACAGAAACACTGTGGTATTTACGTGCTTTTGTGTACTGTTAATGTTTTGATGTTTTTTTGTATGATGAATGTCTTTACCTGCATCGTTTCATAAGCATGTGAAAGAGATTTTAACTGTAATATTCCTTTTTTGGAATATTACAGTATTTATTATAAATGATTTATCCATGCACAATAATTATTATTATTTTTTTAATTCATGTACCCTTATAATCTTTAATCAAAATCCCCTCCTACTTGCAGCAACATCTCTTATCTTTTCTGATGATGTGTTTACTGGCGTGAGGGCGGAGAAACCTGTCACTCACATGACATCACCGCAATAGCAAACCACAACAATCCAATCAATTCCCAATGCGCAAAATCAAATCCTGTCCTACATTTATTCTTGTTTGAGAAGCTGTTTCACTCAGATATGTCACAATAGGGAAGAAAAGACTATTGCGTCAACCTTAATATTGACCTTCTTCGTCGCTAGCAATATAAGCTAGCACTGCCACGTTGCCACAGCGTTGTCACTAGTGATCTTTTTGCTCTCTGTGTTCTGCCTCCTACACACACTACTCAACTTTCGGATTGGTGTTCTTTTCACAATTGCTGTTCTGTCGTCACAAAACACATTTCACACCACAGGACTTGGATTGCAGACAGGTCTAGATATTTAATGTGCATCATACAATAGCCTATCTCTTGGGCATCACCGACAATATTTAACATGCAAAATCTCTCAAGCATCACAGATGCATTGGTCTTCTCTCAGATTGCACACTCTCAGAAAAAAAGGTACAAAAGCTGTCACTGGGGCTGTACCTTTTCTAAAGGTACACTTCTGTACCCAAAGGCTGCATATTGGTACCTTAGTGTTACATATTAGCACCTAAAATGTACATATTAGCAACTGAAATGTACATATTAACACCTAAAATGTACATATTAGTACCTAAAATGTACATATTAGCTCCTGAAATGTACATATTACCACATAAAATGTACATATTACCACCTAAAATGTACATATTAGCTCATGAAATGGACATATTAGCACCTAAAATGTACATATTACCACCTAAAATGTACATATTAGCTCATGAAATGGACATATTAGCACCTAAAATGTACATATTAGCACCTAAAATGTACATATTAGCTCATGAAATGGACATATTAGCACCTAAAATGTACATATTAGTAACTAAAATGTACATACTACCACCTAAAATGTATATATTACCACCTAAAATGTACAAATTAGCTCATGAAATGGACATTTTAGCACCTAAAATGTACATACTAACACTTGAAATGTACATATTAGTACCTAAAATGTACATATTACCACCTAAAATGTACATATAAGGGCCTAAAATTTACATATTAGGACCTAAAATGTACATATCAGCACCTAAAATGTACATATTAACCCTCAAAATGTACATATTAACACCTAAAATGTACTTACCTAAAATGTACATATTAGCACCTAAAATGTACATATTAGCACCTGCAATGGACAAACGTTTATCTTTTGAAAAGGTACAGCCCCAGTGACAGCTTTTGTACCTTTTTTTTCTGAGAGTGTAGCAAGTATCACGGTGAACTAGCACAGATTTGCCTCTCATTTTGGGCTTTTGTCGGCAATATCCATGAACTGTTTATGAAAATCAGGGCTATCATGTAGGGTGTGGGTGGCATTAGCAGACTAAATATCTAGACCTGCAGTCTGCAGTCCAAGTCCTGTCATTTGAACTTTGTTTATAATGAAACTGACATTGGCGAGGACCGTGTGCAGTGTAAAAAGAACCGAATTCTGACGACCTTGGAAGTCATGTAGTGTGTGGTCGGCAGCATAAATACCTCTCAGGCATCTGCAATGCAAAGGCACTTCTCTCAGTTTCTTGCCCTCGAAAACTGACACATTAGTGATCGTCAGCTGAGGTCACGATTGAGTGCAGATTTGCCTCGGATTTCTGGCTTTTGTTGGCGATTTCCATTAACTGTAGTTGAGTGGAAAACCAGGGCGAAAATCGGGCAGGGTGTGGGCAGCATTATAAAGTATCAAAGAAGTGAAAAAGTAATGTTGCAGAGTTTGTCAGCACTATTTAATCAATAAAATGGCTCAAATGTAAAGATGTTTAGTTAAACCACCCAACACTGATTGCAGTGTTTCTTCACGTCAGTACTGCCTGTTCCTGTTTTATCGCGAATGTTTGAAATCCTTGGTGCTGCATTATTGAATGCGAATGTAAAAAATAATCAAAATCAGTGCCCAGGTGCAACTGAAGCCTTACGTTTTGTTCTATGAAATGTTCTTTTATCTGTCTTTAGATAGCTTGGTGTCAGGGTACCTTGACCGCGTGGTTGCTCTGGGACGGCTGTGTCTCTTCTGATCAGGAGGTGTCGGGCAAGCAGGTCAGGAGCTGAGAGGTAAGTGTCCACTTTTAGAGGCCTCTTCCCCTTCCTCTCTCTCTCCCTGTCCATCTCACGCTCACGGAATGTTGGCTTCCGCCCAAAAACATGTGTGTGACCCGTCATTATGTACAACACAAAGTCCTGAACAAATAATGAACAAGAAAGTGAGAGAGTGAGAACAACGAGAGTGGAAAAAAGCCGTTATCCTCTTCATTGTGGTCTTTACTACAATCTGTGCAATCTCCTATCTTAAGTTGCAGAAATACAGTGACGATAAGGAATGAGAGTGTTACAGTTTTCGACAATATGTGCTTGTGTGAGGTCATTGTGCAGAGATGAAGCAGTAGACACAGCATGCTTGTGTTGGTATTGTGCAGCCCGTGTGTGTTTATAGAGCTTCTGTGTGGCTTTTTTGTGCAGTTTGTTCAATGGGCCTTCCACTCAAAGGTATAAAAGCTTTGATGGTATGTTGTGATTAGGGGAATACAGGAATGATGTCATGGGATGGCTGCAAGATAAGTGAGTTGATGCATGTCTAGCCTTGCTCTGGTCATAGCCCTGCAGTAACAGGAAGTAAGGCCGATCTGTCGGTGGAAGGATCAGACTCTGCGACATCACTTCCAGGTCACAGGTGTCTTTCTCTTCCTCTGCTGCACGAGTACGTCTGTCCGCCTCACATCCACCACCTCTTGACCCAGGGCCCTAAAAAAAAATCACACAAAGATAATACTGAGTAGAGCCAGACCGATATATCGGCATATCGATATTAGGCATTTTCCAAACTATTGGTATCGGCAGTTATAATGGCCCATAAATATTTCAAAAATAAAATAAAAACGGACAAAACACGCTTGAACCATGTCATGAGTGTTGGAGTTGTATAATTTGTCCACCAGAGGGCACTCTACATCGTCCCTGTTGGCAACACTCGAGTTGGTCACGAGACATACAGTGCATTGCTTGAATAACAATTAAAAAAACATCCCCATCTTAACTCAAATAAGCATGACAAAATTTGTGACTATCATGTCCAGTTTTGCTGCTGTTAAATAAGCCGAGAGTGAAGCGGAATTAGCTAATAGTTACGTTACGTTGTTACAGTGTAGTTGACTGACTGTCCTTTTAACTTTTCACAATGTGACTGAAGTATTTCTTTAACAGCACATGACAGTTATAGCATATCATCTCTCCTTGGCCTGTTATATTGAAAATGCATATTTAACAATTTGCTCTATGACGTAATCCATTGCTAAATTATGGCTCATCATAGACTAGCTAACCACAAAGCTAGCTAATGCCACTATTATCAGTCTGTTCTGTTGTGACAATAAAAGAAACAAGTTTTTTTTTTTAAATGCATTATCATATTATTTTAGTTAAAACTCATAAATAACTACAAATAACTAATGTTAGGGAAATCTGTTAATGTTTAGTTGCACGTTTCTGAAATAAAAAATAAAATTAAAAAAAATATCGGCCGATATATCGGATTTTAAAACCAACAAATATTTGTATCGGTATCGGCCTTCAAAATTCTTCATCGTTCAGGCTCTAATACTCAGAATGGATAATATGCATTTATCAAGACATACATATTACATTGTATATGTCGTGTCATATTAGGTTTATATGACATTTAATTGGAGGACAAGCAGAAATCTGAACTACTGCCCAAAACCGGGCAAGCAGAAAAAAGTCCTTATTGTTGAGCCCTGCGTTATTAATTCGATTTCACATTCTTGAGGTTTTACTGTATTGAAAAGTTGGTCTATATCTTTATTTTACCTCTTCACTTTCAGATGCCATCATGCTCACTATGTTCTTTCTATCCTGTCCATTGTTTGAGGCATTTCCAGAACGCCGAGGGTCATTGCCACCAGTGTTGCCCTGACGACGTCTTAGACTCAGGTTCATATCACTGATACTCCTCCTAAGTTCTGTGTTCCGCCCTCGATGACCTCGTTCTTCTTCTGGACCACCCCCTGAAGACATGCGGCTCCGCCTCCAACGTACACCTGTTACCACAATAGTGTTTTCCCACAAATTAATTGCCACAGTTGGAAAATATCTTACAGTTAAATATGAAGATCTTCCAACCTTGATAGCTCTCTCCATCCCTCTCTCTCTCTCTCTCTTTCTCTTTCTCCTCCCTCTCATATTCATCAAGGCGCTGGATCTCAAACCGTCGTTCAAAACCATCCTTGGGTCTCCACATATCCACTAGCTGTAAGGGGCATTCCCAGGACGCCACACCCCTTCGACACTCTGTTTGCCATTTAATGGCTCCATCTGGCTGTGGAATGGGCTTTCCAATGACATCACATAACAGGAAGTCCTCGGGGGAATATTTCTGGAGAGCTGACCAGGTGAACAGGAAGTAAGAACATTCAGAAGGGAATGATACAATAAGCGGGTAAAGCCTAATTTCCTATATATAATCTCTGATGTCTCCACTCAAATGCACATTTAATTATCTGCAGCTTGCTTTTGATGTTTTATATTTTATCCATTACAAGACTGAGATACTGGATGAATGAACCCAATATCCTGCAGCTGACCCATATGAAACTGCCTAAATCATTATTTAATTACCCTCATGTCGTTCCAAATGTGTTAGTATCGTATTTCTGAATAATCTTGACTTAATTCTTTACATACAGCAATTCAAACACCACAAATGGACATTGCACTTTTTTCAAGATTTTTTTGTGAGGAACGGAATAGACTATTCTTCAAAAGTTTGCTGTTAGTTTACATTGTTACAAAAGATGTCTATTTCAAATAACTGGTATTCGTTTGAACAGAATTTCTTTTTATCATCGTTTCCACAGAAATATAAAGCAGAACGACTGTTTTTAACTGATAATAAGAAGAAATGTTTCTTAAGCAGCAACTGTTTAAAACTGTTTAAAATATTTTCAAATAGAAAACAGTTATTTAAAATTGAAATAATATTGAACAATATTACAGTTTTTTTTTACTGTATTCATCAAATAAATGCAGCCTTAGTGAGCATTAAGGACTTCTTTTTAAAACATTAAAACAAATGAAAGTACTGATGGCATTTTGTCTTGACAATGACATCAAACCTGGCATGACATGTCTGTGCCATTTCGTAATCTGAGAGGGGTTCCCAAATGACATTTCAGAGCGACAGTGGAGGTCAATTATCTGTGAAAATGACTTAAATTTCATGTGACTAGTGAACTAGATTTTACTACGTATATTTTCACTGCACAAAACAATTTACATTATAGGACACAAGTCTGAAAGACATTTTTTGGATACATTTATTATGCTTTTGTCCTTTTTGGGACAAAATCATCTGTGCCCATTTGCATCATAAATGTATTTTAGACTTGTGAAAGACACTTCAGGCATAAGTCTGAAAGATATATTTTTGGATACATTTATGGTGGCTTTTGTCTTTTTTGGGATTTTGGCAGGTGTGACCACGACATTTGCATCATTTTATGGGATAATACCTGTGTCTTCAGTCTCGTTCTCTCGTTCTCTCTCAGTGTAGCGGGTGATGACCTGCTGAATGAGCTGGCGAGCAGTGGAGTGTATATTTGCCAGGAGGCTCCGATAGTTAGCACCACTGGATAGGGCATCTCCATAGATCTTGACCAGCCCAGGGGCATTAGAGGAAGCAGGAGGCAGGTAGTGATGTGATGAAGGGGTGGCAGAATGCGCCCATATTTCCCTTTCACGTTCTCCAATGGCACGGTCTCGGTCACTGTTGGACCGGCCTCTCAGGAAGAGGTGAGACAGCCTTTTGGACCTGGACTGCTGATTGGCTGGGCGAGGGCGGAGGAAGGCAGGAGAAGGGGATGGAGAGGGTGGGGCAAGAGAAGGGGTAGAGTGAGAGAGGGAGGAAGGGACTGATGATGGGGCCTCGTGCAGGGAAGCAGCATCTGAGCTAGTTGTGGACCTGATAAAATGAAGGAATAGGTGATTTACAAATAATTTACTGTAACATTCATTAATGTGTCCTCATTATTTGGAAGGAGAAATGTAGAGAAAGTAGTTCAAATTTTTTAGTAAATTTTAGTACATTTAGTAGTAAATTTAGTAAAGTTTTTTGTCCAGATTAATTAATTGATTCAAAAATACAATTAAAAGTGTAATTCATCATACAATGACTTAAATACAATTGTTCTTTTATGAACATGTTCTAATTTTCTGAATTAGGATTCGTTTGAATCATTTTGAGTGGCATAAATTCAAAACTATTTGGGTAAAACAACTGCCCTCCTGATATTGTAATGAAGAAAACAAAATTATTAAAGTATGAAATTATTGAAAAAAAGAACTGGTTTGGAAAAATCATTTCTTATTCTTTTTTTAGAAAAAGTATTGAATAAAGATTTGAAAACTATCAAGGTCATGTGGTGCAACCAACTTACAAACAGATATACAAATTAATGAATCATGAACTTATAACGAAGCGAGGTTTGTTTTAAATCTGCACAGGTCAAAATAAGGTCATAAGTAAAATATAGTTTTTTCTTATTGACCTTGAATGTGTGTCAATGTCATAAGTCTCTAAAAGTATTAGATCATTTGACTTGTTTATGATAATAAAATGTCATGTGGTGCGACTCCCCCAAAACTTTGTGAATTATTAATTCATGATTTTTATTTCAAAACCAGACTGATTTAGAGTCTTTAAATTAAAACTTTTGCGAAATTGTTTTTTCATATGAAATTAAAATAAATACATTTCCAAGAACCTGGCTTTTATGCTTTACTTTATCAGGGACACTCTTATTTGTCATTGATCCAGAGAGTAAGCGAAAGTTCAGAACACTGACTTGACTGATGCTGCACTGGGCCAACGAGCTCCCAACTTGGCAAAGTGTTTCCGTGGAGAATTTATCCACAAGCCCACTGGGAAATGGAGCTTCCTAAATCGGGGACTGCCAGACTCCTCCATCTGAGGGAGTGAGAGAGGGAGGTGATGTTGGATGGAAGTGTGGAGAATGGAAAGATAAAATGTACAAAAAATAAATTGAGAAAGGAAGGATCAGGAGAAGTAGGAAAAAACAAGAAAGGGAAATGTCTTAACAGTCAGAGAAAAAAAAGATGCAGAGAAACACCAGTAGAACATTGACATAAGATCGTCGTGCACGACTTTGAAGCCGTAAAAGATTTCATTTCTTGAGTTTGTGTCATTGATACTGTATGTATTCCTCTCCAAAATCAAATCTCGGCAGTGAATGACATTCAGTAGACAAATGGCAGGAAAAGCTAACGTCTCGTTGAATAATCAGGACGTGCCGTGTCATACATTCTTCACCATCTAACAGTCTATGAGTAACAGAGCATTAACGCGGCTTGTAGGGAATGCCACAAAGTTGACATCAGGCGGTGAATAGTTATGGCTCTAAGAAAAAGATTTATTTCACATTCATGTCTACATGTCTAATGAAAAGCAGAGGTTTGGCACAGTTGCTCCTGAGCTAAGCAAACTCGTGGAAGTCAAGTAAGAGTCAAGTGGCTTCGCCAAGAGGCCATGACGAAGATATCAACCAACATGAAACTATCACTGCCGAGGATCAGCCATGCAGCCAAACCACATTCTATGAATATCACTCTTTTTGTACTTTGATTAAAAGCGCGGAATGTCGGCTATACATAATAACATACATGTTTTTGTCCTCCGCCCTGACTGTGGACTTCACCTCCATGTATCCTCGCAGACAGACGGGGAAAACCCCTGAACAGACCCCCTAAGTGTCAGCTGCCCTCTGTCGATCCTCAAAAGTGAACTTCACTTTTAGTATGTTGACTCTGTGACCATAATTGATTTCATCACATTCTACAAAGTTAATGGTGGATGTAGAACAACCAAGACACAAAATTTACTACATTTGGTTGGGAAAGATTTTCAGGATATGCTGACTAAAGCTCCAAACCTGTCATTTTGCATCAGTTAAATGGCTTTTCTCACCAGAGGATGATCTTAATGCGACTTACCCACTGTGACGGGCTTCCTCTTTGTAACAGGATAAATCTTCGGAATGGCTGTTGTTGTTTGTGAAGTGTATTATAATAATGTAAAATAAATGCCAGTGGAGGTTGGCTCTGTCTCTCCTTAGTCCAGAATTAGGCTTAAATAGTCCATTTTCTGCATGAGGCCTTGCTTTGCTTTACTGGAATTTGTCCTTTCAACCCAGTTTTTAGGATGTCTTTTTCATTTTCGATGTAAAAGTTGTTTCTGGAAGGGTCCTCTAGTCCTTATTCTTGCTTTCTATTTCTTTCTCGTTTTCTTTCTCCCCTTTTCTGCGTCTATAGATAGAGAAGCAGGCCCATTGTTCTAAATGACAGAATTTCCTTCCTCCCCAATGGACAACACCTATATCCTGAGAAAAAGAGAGAGAGAGGGAGACAGAGAGAATATATGAATTATACACATAGAGCAATGTCAAAGAAACTGATGTACAAAACGCAAGACAAAAAAAAATGTAATAAGCACTCGTCAGGATATTTAATAGGCCTATATGTCCATTCAAAATCAAAACGGCACCGGAAATTGTCTGAGAGTAAGAGAACTCTTTGTCAGTGTAGACGCCATATTGAATTTTACATGGATGAAAATTATGAGGGATAGACTTACAGTAATTACAATGGTATTCGCTGTAAAAAGGGCCTATCTCATGTAATTTTATGGAGTTTTCTTCTAGTGAAAGTTCTTTGTTTCGTTTGGCATGCTGTTGAACCACATACAGTCCATTGAATGTATTACTTCAATCCCTCACAGCCTCGTTTTGATTCCTGTCAGAAATTAAAAATGGTGCTACCCTAACTAAGATCTATGGGGACAACTCAGGAAATATTATACATCTGAAAGAACTGAATCGGTATATATGTTTATTATCTAAAAGAATGGATTAGCACTGGCCTCAGCATGTTTTAGGCAACGCTCTTTGGTTTGTGTTGTAGGGCTTTTGAAAAAAAGAGGAAGCAGGAAACCTGAGACAGGATGTCGAAGACAGAGAGGCACCTGTAACCTTTAACCTTGTCAACAACAGAATGATGTGTCAGGAAAGAAGCATTTGTATCCGTATATGAATGTGTGTATACATATCCTATTTGAGTGTATACAAGAATAAGAAGCATTTGTATGAATATACCAATACTTAACCATTTCTCTTGTTTAAAACCCAAATCTAACTAAATTTAGTGAAACTTTTTCACAAGACAATAATAAAATAGTAAATAACCATTGTATATAATTTTGCTTTTCAAGAATTTTTTTTCTTTCAACAACATTTAGCTGTAACATTTGCTTTTAAGTGTAAAGCAATTGTGCTGTTCTACATATGCTGTATATGTGTATTTACATAAATACATAAATACACACACACACTCACATGCACCGTGTCAGACCAAAAGCTCTAAGAGCAGTTGGTCTGTCAGACAGGAAGCACTGACAGCAGGCTGTGAAGGCTCCTGTGCGTCATTCAGACTTGTCCCTCCATGTTTGTTTTTAGTGTGTAAGTGAAAGCTCTTCCTGGCTCCTGGTCAGAAGGAATGGGTTTGGAATGAAGTGTGCATACAGTAGCACACGCTTTCTTTGGTTAAAAAAAAGTTCTTATACATCTCTCTCACACTCCAACTCCAGCTCGAGAATGAGAAGATTGTTTGGTAGCCAGCAGTGCCCTACAAAGGCAGAGGACAGTACTGCACTGCGTTGAATTATTGTTCCCTAGTTAGGTGCTGTGCACAGATTTCTTAACAGATCATTTTCAGAAAATAATAAAGCAAAATGCTCCGTTGTACACGCAACTAAAACACAAAGCTAACAATATATAAAACATATTCAGAATTAAATGAATACCCTGCTCCAGACAGTGGATTAATTACAAAAATATTTAAATAGCCTAGAAACATTTTTTTGTCAGAGATGGAAAGGTTCTGACCATACAATGGTATGCTGAAGGCCTTTTTCCACTTTATGATTTACACATAGCCACTATTCTTATTATGATCTTTTTTGCTTCCCAGTGTTTAGTCTGCTAAAATGATAACTGGTAAATGTCGATATTAGTTTGTCATCAGTTTAACGCCCCAATTTTTATATTGTAGATTGCAATTATTATTTTATTAATAGGCACTGACACGTTAGTAGCCTGTATTAATATTATTTTATATTTTCGTTTCATATAGGCCTACTATTATTATTTTATTCTCTTCATATTACATCTAAAGATTCGAATAAACTCTAGATGAACTTTCATAAATGAATTGTGTAAATAATAAATAGGCCTATTAATATTGGTCTCATAAGCCCCGCCTTGCCTCATCTTCATGCTCAATGCTCCCTCCACATTGACTTCCCACAATTCAGTGCGCTTTGAAAGTCTTCCGAGAGGACGTTACTATAATAAGGGCATAGCAGCAAGAGGTAGGCCTACAATATTTATATTTGTTTATGTTAATCCACGTTTTCGTGCAATTGTTCATCTTGTGTGAGGTTTGTTGAAACTCTTTACTTTTACTCTATTGTCAAATTAATGAAATATCAACGGGTGATTTACGAGAACGGTTCATTTGAGTTAGCGAGCTAGCAAGCGTGCTAGCTATGTAAGCCGGCTGACGTTACCAAGGTTATGTTACTTGAGGTAATATATCTGCCGTTTTAAACCTATTTAACGCGTTTAAAAGTTCACTATTCCTTACACTTACTCCTTGAAAAGGTAAAAGAGCTCGTTTGAAGTATAACAAGTTAGTTTTAAGCCTTATATGATTGATGAGACTGGCTGGGCTCAGTTCAAACTGACTATGAATGTCAGTCTCAAATGTTTTATCACACTGGCCAACTACGACATTTGAGCAACTCAGGACCCATAGTGTACTTTAATTCAGCTGCTTTGTTAATGTTGTCTGTGCATGTTTACGTCACTCAGACCCGTTATCTGCGACTGAAGATGGCTGATGTTATTGAGGACAAGATCAAGAACTACAGAACGGCTCCATTCGATGCCCGTTTTCCCAACACTAATCAGACACGAAACTGTTTCCAAAATTACCTAGGTAAGAACAGTAGAAATTATTATATGAACCATATTTGTACACAAACAGCTAATCTATAACCAAATGCTTCATAAATGTATCCGAGAAGTGGGCCTTACACACAGGCCTGTACAAAATCATCAGAATGAGTATGAGCCTTAGATGCTTTTCAACTGTGATTACTAAGAGGTATACTGATCTCAGTTCCCTTGGAGCACCCTGGATTTAGGGTTTTTAGTCAAGGTCACATTGGTGGTAAAGCTGGCTGGGTAGCAACAAACATCTGAAGTTATGAGCTACAATGAATCTATTGATTGTTTGACGTTATCAAAACACATTATGAATTGAGTAACTTGTGGTGGATGCCTGGGTTGTAAACTATTGACTATTTCTGGCTAATTTCAGTGCAGATTACTTACTGTTGTTTCTTTTTGATAGACTTTCACCGGTGTAATAAGGCTTTGTCAAGCAAAGGGCAGGACACTTCTCCCTGCGATTGGTATCAGAGAGTCTACAAGAGCCTGTGTCCAATGAGCTGGGTGAGTTTTAAAAATGCGTTTGTATAAATAACTACGTTTTATTACCGTAGTCAACATCAAATCCAGATTGAGTAGGCTACATTTATCTGTATATTGCATTCAAAACAATCACTACCTCTGAAATAAATGTCCTCTTTGCTGCGATCACCAACCCCTCTATTTTTATTATAACACGTTTCATTTTTTTAAAATGTCTTTTTACATTGTATTTAAATACATATTGTAAATACACAGTTGTTTTTATAACTTCACATACTCTTTTCTATTTGCATAGGATTCACAGCTGTGTCATTTGGAATTTTAAAAGAAAATAGACATTATTTAGATGGGTAGCCACAACTAAAAAATTAAAAACTAGGAGGGGTGTGCAATCACATATGGACTCATGAGAGAAAATGCCACACCATTATGAAGTGACACCCACCATGCCAAAATGCATTATAAAAACTGGCACCAACCATTCAGAAGTGTGCTGGACCTTGACACCGACTCTTCACAAAGCAAGAGTAATGTAGGTCTGTAGATATTGTATTATATTAAATTACATGTCTATTATAATATAATGTGGAAACGGCAAGTCAAGTACTTTATCAAAACATTTAGGCATCTCCAGACAGAATGCATGATCATATTGTTAAACATGGTTTTATTTCTTATGAAATAATACCATTACGTTATTTGTGAAAATATTAAAGCCATAGATGAGAACCACTAACCACATTTTAAATTATATCTATATTTATTTGGATCAATATTAATCTGATTAATTTAATGGGGCTATAAAATGATCAAGCATTTGGCTTTTATTTCTCAAAAAAAAAAAAAAGGTATTTATTCCAACTCCAACATTTGGGTCCAGAACTAAGCATATTTATTGCAATTTTACCCAATGAGTGTTTATAAGTCCCAGTGCCAACAATTATATAACAATAGTGAAGTCAACTTACTGTAAAACATATAAAATTATGAATACAAACTTAAATAGTAAAGGCCATTCGGCCTTAGTTTTGTCGTCTTAATACAACATTACTAAAAAAAAGGATTGCACCTTCTACAAATTACCCACCTAAGAACAAAAATAAATTAATATAAAATATCAAGCCAAACAGGTAATCAATGTATACAATTAATAAAAAAAAAATGTAAATAAAACAATTATAATAAGTAGGGGTGGGAATCTCTAGGCACCTCACGATTCGATTATCATTAAGAGGGCTGCGATTCGATGCTAAAGTGATTATCGATTATCTGAATTGTTTTGTGTGTGTGTGACTATAAATACTTGTCTTTAAAAGTACAAAGTAATGGAGTTTGGAGAAGCAGGCTGTGGAGTTTCATTTTTTTGGCAGATGTGACATACAAACAAAGTTTCGCAAAGACTACAATACAATATTTGTTCCTTCATCACATCCCGGTGTATACAGTGAATGCATGCTGAAATTGTTGCGTGGCTACATGAAAGTTTAAGCATATGAGATGCATTTCCGCAATTGGTCTGACTGGCGCGTGAGAGAGATGAGGGTGTGTGTGTGTGCGAAGGGTTCTTTTTTAGACTTTACTCTCTTGCAATGAATATGTTTACTACTTAACATCAAAGCTAAACATCAAATCTAGTCAAACCGCATTACGACAGCGCTACAAATACAGTATGGGATTAAAATCAGTGAACATCAATGTATAGGATCCCAAACTTTAGACATTCTCTGCCATCGTGCCAACTAAATTCTATCACGCGCTATGGTGTGGTCCCTGCGCATATAGTGTGCGTCATAGGAATTTAACAAGGCCTCGGGGAATTTTTGTAATCGGGTAACTCGATGAATCGTTTCAGCCCTATCTACCATTTTCAAATATTTTTTTTTTCTTTTTTAAATCTTTAACATTATTTGCAAGAAAATAGGATGAAAATTACTTCAACTGCATATTATTTCAGAAAATTATAAAAAATAAACTGGAAGGAAACTCCACAAAATAGTCTCTTTAAAAAAAAAAAAAAATTTAACCTTTATTTAACCAGGTAGGCACATAGAGGACTCATTCTTATTAAAAACGGCAACCTGGCCAAGATAAAGCGTCAAGGTGCAGACATCAAGAAGTTGCACATAAAGGACAAAACAATGAATCAAGGATACGATCAGTTATACAATCAAAAATCCAATCTACAACATAATTCCAGATACAATACCTAGGCAAGTAGCCTATTATGGCAGCAATACAATACAAGAACGGAATAAATAAACAAGAAGACGATAAAAGTAATGCATTAGCTTGCACCAAGGAAGAATGCTGATGCTAACAAGAAAAATTTTGTGACCGTAGGTTGTAGTCTTGTAGTCTTAAAGACAGTCTCTTGTCTCTTTCATACATAATTCTGTCATTTGTGGCTATGACAGGGTATTTAAAAAATGTTTTAGTACATTAAACATGGTAAAGTTTGTCTTTTTAAATGTACAAGAACCGTCCTTCAGGTAATAACTAGTAATGCACACAATTATTGACAGCAGGTGGTACCCATCCTGATCATCGTAATGAAATGGCCCCTATTCAAATCATTAGGAGTGTAGCGAAGCAGCTTAGTAATTAACATTTAAATGAAGTAATGGATGGTACATTTTCTGATGTCACAAAACACATGATCCTCCCTAAAATTTCAGGAATTTAAGTCAACAGTTTTCTAACCTGATGTAATTGCTAATTTCCTTTCCTTTTATGCAACAAGACACAAGCAATGACTGTGAAATGTGATGCGTTATGAAGGGCTGCGGCTGGGATTATTTTTAAAATACAATGTGTTCTTGTTTTTGTTCTCTCCTTTTTTCAGGTGGAGAAATGGAATGGACAGATTGAGGATGGAAGCTTCCCTGGAAAGATCTAAATGTTTGCTGTTACCTTCAATTCATGAACTCCCCACCTTTTGTAGAGTACCTCATAATATATGATCCTATTTTGATGTTGTCTTTTGCCCACTGGAGGATGAAAGGTCATTCTGAGTGCTCCTCCGAATCATGTGACCTTTTGTCCTTTAGCATTTTGAGGTCCTACTTAAGCATCAGCTTTGTCGCTCTACAACTTACTGTTTAAAAATTACAAAATAAAATCACAATTCCAAATGATTTCAGATGATGTTTTGATTTTTGTTTTGTTTTTAAATAAGGCGCAAACAAATTATAGTTTATACAGACTGTTTCTAAATGAAACTGTCTAACTAGCACACTAAGTCTTTTTTTTTTTTTTCTTTAAATGTGCAATCTGACAAAAATATATACATCCAAAGTTTAAGTTTGCAGATAGTTGATGAACAATGTGAATTCTGCTCCTTTTACATGCCTTATTGAAGCAACAGTCGTATTAAGATACTGGATTTAGCCATATAGAGTTCAAGCAATGACACAAAGGCTAATTCAGTTTGAACACACAGGATGATGTTAAGTGAAATCAGTGATTAAGAAGTTAGGATGTTCTATATAAACCGTTTTCACAGCTTTATTTAAATGGCTGTTTAATCCTGCGTCTTGGTGTCATCGTGCTGTTGGCTTTTAAAACACCAGATGGCGATATGAGTTGGTACTTACTGTGACAGTAACCATTACTAAGACTTAGTGAAAGTGTGGCAATTGCAGTGACAACATAATTGCACAGAGTAGCCTACCTAGAATTTCCTCTATTTCTATATATTTAAAATCTGATGCAAACCATTAGGGGCAAAAGGACAAACTGGAAGTCTATAATCAAGAAGAGCTTCAGTTTTCTGGCAATATCATCTGTCTTCAGTCCTGGAGGCTGCATTTTCAGGACCCCCTAGTTTTTTGTGACAGTGCCACTTACCGAGTCGGAGAACCGCATTTCCAGGACCCTAGTTTTGGAGGACTGAAAAATAGTGCTATCAAGGCAGTATTTCCACCCAGTTTTAACTACATTAGAGTTGTTGTTTTGTTTTGTTTTTTCCTCTAGTTTTATTACAGCCAAATACTACTTTCTTTATTGCAATTAAACCAGGTGCCTAGGAATGTTGAGAAATTATTAGAAATGAAAAGAAAGAGAAGTGACTTTTGGGATGAGAAAAAACCAACCCAAATTAGCTTTGGTTAAACAAATGTTAAATGTCTCAACCAATTTTATAAAACCATGTCAAAATGAAGAGACTTACACATGTATTGTTGGTCACGTTAAACAGGCCGACTGTGAGCACGTGACAGTGAAAACATTAAGATTATTTTAACTGAATTAAAATCGAAAAACAATAAGTAATTAACAAGCTTTCAGAACGAACATGCTACAGTTTATTGTGCTGTAAATAAGTCAACACAGGCTTATCATGCAACAGTTCCGTTAAATGAACGTGTCAACAATTCATTTTCCAACATTAGAGGCTAATATGTGATGGCTATGCATACAAGAGAGTTTAGCAATATCAATTCATTAATAAAAAAAATAATTTTGCGGTAAATTTCAGAACGATATTGTATGCAGTGGTCTGTGTGTGTCTATTTATACTGAAAAAGATGATCAAATATTTAGACGCTACATATATATATATATATGGGAAACTTGACTTTTCTGCCCTTTTTGTTTGCTATTGTAGGTTTTGATTTCAATTTAGCCTACATCGACAGTGTGTGATGCCTTGCCTACCAACAGGTAATACTTTTTTAAACAAGTGATTAAAAATGGCAGGCTCCTGGAGAGTTTGTCTTGTGTGCTACTTCATACAAAAACAAAACCACAGTGACATGATCTCAGTTCTAAAAATGTTTCCTGCAAGTTCCTGTTGTCTGTCATAACAGTCAACTAGCGTTGTGTGTGTGCGCGCGCTATTAGGCTATGCGTTATATTAGGCTACGTTACCTTGTATAAATTAGATTTTCAAGTAATTTCTTATATTGTATTTAATTTGCAATGCCTTTGAGACAAGTTCACTGAACAAAGCTACCCCGAACGTGGGCAACGAAACATTTGTTATCAGTAGATCACACACTTGCATGGAGTGCCAGCAGACCCCGCAAATTGTCCAATCTCGGAAGAGAGGACTACTTGTTTACAAACAAAAAAGTACGTACTTTTCTCACAGAAGCACTCACATGACAACAATGACGGTAGTATTGTCAGACAGCAGGGTTTTTTACTGGTGGGATGTTGCGTGAGATAAACAGAAGCGCGATTCACTTCTAGTCTTGGCGATAACGCGCGAGTAACCAAATAAGGACATAAAATAGAGTAGGGTCTCAAAGCTGCCTACCTAGATTGAGTTATTAGGCATTATAGGCAGGTTCTGGCGCCTATGATGCTGTCTAGGGAGGTTGCTCTAGTGTTTAGAGATACGGGAAGGATTTCCTTAAGGATGTTACGTGAGTGACTTAAAACTAAATTCTCGATTATTTCTGTGACTCAAATATTACAGAAATAGGGGGAGCATGGCTGTGTGACGAAAAACACAACGTGCTGGTGCTCATGTCTCACTTAACATAAAACCACGAGCTCGAGAGCGTTTCATCACACACCAGCAAACACCTGATCGACGCAAGAGCTCTCCAAGCATAAACGTAAATATTATTATTTTACATTTTCCTTACATAGAAATAGAACATACTATAGCATTACAACGATCTTTTATTACAATGTTGACTAAAATATTGCTTCATAACTACACACGTTGTTTAAAATGTTGAAAACGTTTAATTGTGGCCTTAAATCTTTATCAAAATAACCCTGAAGTGAAGTATTATACTTTTTTGTTCACTTACAGATTTATTATTGATAAAAGAAGAGAAGAGAAACTTGTTAGTTGAAATGACAGAGGTTGTTGTGACAAGATAAATGGAATGAAAGGATGTTGTTTTTACAATTATGAAAAATAAGTTGTATTAATTAGCCTATAAAAATAGAATATAATACTGTGATTGTGTGAAATATGTGTAAATGCAGCTATAACTTCATAACAAGCAGATCAAATGTTTTTAATTAGGGAACTGCATAAAGCTGATAAACTAAAGATTGATTTATGTTTAAAATGTCAGAGTACAGGAATGTCTCTGAAACTGTTGACCCATATAACCACATTTTAACGGTAGAGAGGAATGATCTTGAGCTGACAGAGATGCCTCTTATATTTGACTTCCACGTACTTTGCAGTTTACATTGCACAATGCTGATGCTCATCATCTCAACTCAGCAGACATCCGTTGTAGGAAATCAACTTTTTTGTGGTTGTTCTTTATGAAAATATAAAATGTTTCATTCTTTTGCATTACTTAAAAAAAAACGATTATTTGTATTCTTTTTTTCCCCCACTCTAGAGCCTTTTTTTTAAAATACGGATTTGTATTTATCCATATACATTTGGTTTCGCTGCAAGAAGAGGGAAGAACAGACGACCTCTGTCTCAGTTTCATACTGGATTTCGCAACAAAGAGCAGAATGGAGAAGATGAAAGACAGTAAGGTAGAGTTTTTTTCTGTCAGTGTCATTATGTATACAGAACAAGTTGTGATGTTTTCTTCTTTATGATTAATAAGAAAAGGTTTTACTATCACAATGACCCTTATGAAATCTATCCTTTTTTAACCAGTTTTCAATGCATCCCTTGTAAAAAAAAAGAGCTTAATATTTTTGCACTTAACTTCAAATCTTAAAAGTAAAAAAAAAAAGTACTTGCAGATAACATTAATGCAGATAAAATTAAAGGCACACTATGCAGGAATTCTGTTTTTGTCAAACAGTGACCCCTAGAGGCATTGTAGAGTACTTGAATTTTACGTTACACCAGTCTCACACATACTCTGTGTGCTTTGCGTGTTGCTGTCCGTATTCAGTGTGTATACGGTACAGGAGCAGCACATGCTATAGTGCTTTCACATATGCTGCGTTTACTGTGCGTAACTGATCCGTGGCTGTTGGCTGCCACAAACAAACTTGAATGGACGTATGCACGTTTAAACACAATTTAAACTATATAGGCCTATAATTCCATGCATTACTTCTATAATAAGTTGCTCAAGCACATGGTCAAATATTTAACCTTGTACTTATATTAAAAACGCAAACATTTTAAATTAAAACTTAAAATTTACGAAAACAGCCGACTCTCATGCCTATTCTTTTGCATTTCAATTTTAATACTATAAATTTTGCATGTCACAAAGAACTTGTTTTTCCACCTCCACGAATGAGACGAGTGTCGTTCATTATGTCCTTGGTAAATTGTAATTTTCCTTGCTTAAAACCCCGGACTCAAAGGAAAAAGATGAAAAGTAGTATTTAATTAAATAAATTTATGGTTAGATTACTACATTTTATTGAATTAATGCATTCATGGTGAAATTACTACATTTTGAGGTCAACCTGTGATCTGTAACAATAAGGACAACTTAAAGTGCAACTGTTTACTGTTTCTTAAACAGTATTTTTAATGATTATGTTTAAATAATATTTAATCATGCTTTAAAAAACTACATTTATAATTTTAGTTTACAAATCAGCACACTTTAAGTGTATTTCAAAGACAAAAGAAGTACTTATGACATATAAATAGACTTAAGTCCCTCTTAAGTGGGTCTCTTAAGTTCTGCTTATTACATGCAATTTAAATTTAAACTATAGTACATTTTCATCTACTGCATCTATGCAATATTAAAGTATATTCTTATTTGCTTAAATATTCTTTTAAAAAATATGCGTTAATTAGCTATACTTCTTTTTCACAATAGATTACATGCAGAAAATAGGGTCTTTTACATCCATCTGCTTATTTTATGGCAATTTTGTAGTTCTTAGATGTGTTTCGGACCAAATCTCAACTGACTCTGATCCTACGTAGTTCTAATTAAGGGAGTCACCCTGGAATGTATGAGCCAGTCTCGGATTTATTTCTCAGTTGGAATAAGCGATAGGATTGCAGCATGTGAATTAAGAAACCGAGATGTGCAAAGCAGAACGATAAGGAGAAATGACTGTTCAGAGCAGGGTTTAGATGGCATGTTCAAACTTGAGCATAACATGAACAACATTCTGACTGGTTCTTACTTGTTTTGGAATGGACAGACACAATGGAAATTCCCAATCTGAGTGTGCAATTTTGCATCCACTGGAGGAGAGGGGGTTCATGGTGGGATGTGGGGGTGCAAATGGTCTATTCTGATCAATAGAGATGAAAGTTGATGGACCGCCCTTTATCAGAAGAACTCGTTATGAACTTTGAATCTGAATCCAGGTGGCTCTGACACCTTACAGATCACATTATGACACCCATTTACTTGTTCACTCCTCCAGGAATCTGTGTGTGCATGTTTGGGTCTGTTTAAGTCTGTTTCATCACATCAGACTGCAGAAGTTCCTGTGTGTGGGTTTTTTGTAACAGACAAATATTTGACAAATATTGCATGCAGTAGTGAGCAAGTTAATCACTCCAGATTACCATTTCCTTCATGAAAAATGACATAGTAATAGTTTGTAATTTTAAGTTACTCTCTAAAAGGCCCTACAGAAAATACAAATGTCACCCCATATGCCCTTTTGAACAGGCCATCAGATTATTGTTCTTTCTGACCCATTATTTGCTGCTGTAAAGAAGTATTAGGTTGCTATTACTACTTTTAATTTGACATAAGAGGGAGAAAAAGACATCAACTAGAGAAGTTATAGAGCTTGAGAACCACGGTTAGGAAAGAAAATGACACATTGTGACTTTCCAGTTATGTCAATTATGCAACTTTGTTGTTCCACTTTTATTCACAGAGGGAAATTACTGAAATTACTATTGTGTAATATGTGGTTATAAGAATTTGTGTGCCATTCAGAATTGACTTGAGACTGATTTTTAGATTTCTTCCTCTTGAATTGAAGTAGCAAACAGGATGCTGAATCGCATTGTGAAGTTGACTGTATATTACTATTTCATAGCTGTAATTAGGCTTTGACAAAGCCCTTTTTTAAGTTTTGATAAAAGTTTAAAAAGCATAAAGGTTTATAGACAAATAGGATATTGAGGTAGTGTGTGAATACTGAGTGATGCGAGTGTGTGATTTAAAAATAAAGGCAAAAAAGGCAGTGAGAAAGACTCTTCTTTCTGGTTCAGTTATCCTTTAAAGCAGGAGTTTTTATAATAAACCCCTTTGCAAGGGACCCTCTTACAAAGCTATATTTTCATGTTTGAAGATACATTTGAACTGAGAAAACTTTGGCCTTGTGTTTCACAGACAGGGCTTAGACTAAGCCAGGAGTAGACCTAAATTTCAATTGGAACATTTAAGTGGCTTTAATATAAACGTATCCTACAGGGAAAAAATACATTACTGCTGTGCATCTTGAGACAAAACGATGGCACTGACATTTTAAGATATCAGTGCAAAGTAGCTTTCCGTTAAAACAGCTCAAACATGCATTTTAGTCTGTGTACAGGAAGGAGATTGTAAACGTTTGTTTTATCATGTCTGTGAGCCAAGTTTACACTGAGTTTTGGTTTGTTTGGTGACCAAGATGGCAGAAAGTGCATCCTAATTGTTTTCCTTATTTTACTAATGCACATTTTGTTGTTATTGTGAGTTTACAGAAATAAAAGTAAACACTTTAAAGTGTGCATATTCTATATGACCAAAAAATGACGGAGAATTTTAAGTTAAATGCAAGTGATGGCACCGGCACCTGTATGTCATGCAGTAAGCGCACTCTAGTCTCCACACAAACACTTATATGTCTAATAATGTCTAGGTTAACATTAGAGCGAGTGGACTAAAGTTGCTGCTACTTGCATGTTTTAAGTGATAAGCCATATATGATGTCGATGAATCATAGGCAAATGTTTGAATTTCCTGCCGTTAACAGATTGTGTGATTTTGCCACATCCTGTGGAGGGGTTTGTAGCCTACACATATATATTGAGAATAAACAAAAGAAACATAAGGCTGTCCATACAATCAAATAATTAATCTCATGGTTTCCAATCAGTCTTTAGAAAGCAGAATAAAACGGTAATATTTTATATGTTTTAATAATGTATGTAATTAAATTTATTTCAAATAATCATAAAATGGCCCTGCATATATCACTAGACATTAAGAAATCATGTTAATTTCAAATACTTATATCACTGACAACAGTAGTCCGGCCAGGATATTGTCATCTAAAAGGTGATGTTGCAGCCCTCAACTGATGTTGTCATGTTGTCATGTTGTGTTTTGGTCTGATGCTCTACCCTCCACCAATCTATCAATCATGAAGTCAGTAATGTTGCAGCATCCGGGTTGCCAGCTCTGCTCTAGTTTCCACAGCTGCAGATACAAACATTTCGGATAAAAAAAATGTAGAATCCTGCAGCCTATCTGGCAACCTTGAGTCAGGGGGAAGGGGAGGGGATACACCGCTCTACAGTAATTTGAAAGCGATTGCAGTACCAGTTTTGGCCACAATCTTACATACGGCTCCTTTAAAGCTACACTGTGTAACTCTTTTAGTTTATTCTTAGCTAAAAACACTTAGTTCTTTCAAAAATATATGTGCTCATTAATGTATATTTACTTTGTTCAAGTAATAAAGTATTCTCGTGAGTGTATATACGCCATTGAAAATACATACGGGTAAGGGGTTCTAATGTCGGTCGCCATGTTGCCCCTCCATCTTGAAAGTACATTAGCCAAAGAGGGACATATCCGTTAATTCAAGCTTCGCCTTTCGCGTTCACGTTGGAGTTAACACTCATGGACAAGGTCGAACTGGAAGCCATGTTAATCTTGGACTACATTGGCCACCGTAGGAGTTAAAACGAAATCGGAATTGAGAGGAACAGCAACTAATATTCACTGGATGGTCATAAACCTTTTCACCGCTAGATGGGGGTAAAAATCACACAGTGTAGCTTTAATATATGAAATAATTTATTGTTATATTATTTATATTATATTTCTTTGAGCCCTTTTCTGAACATTGAAGAGAAACAAAACTGTCTACTTAATGAAATACTATAATAGTATGTGTATTCCTTGTTTTTGTTCAGGGGAAGCAGGTGACATGCTACCTGCTGCTCTGCGTGTCCACGGCCGTCATCGGCTCGCTGCAGTTCGGCTTCAACACAGGAGTCATCAACGCACCCGATGACGTAAATGTTTCATTAAATGAGTAGCAATTTAGACTTCAAAAGACAACGCTTCATCGCTTACTTCTGTCTGTCTCTCTGTTGATGATCAGAAAGTGAAGAACTTCATCAGAAACGTGACTCTGGTGCGCACTGGAGAGCCCATGGATGAATCCACACTCACAACAGTGTGGAGTGTCGCAGTTTCCATTTTCAATGCTGGCGGCATGATCGGATCTCTGAGTGTTGGCGCTCTGGTTGACAAGCTTGGGAGGTGAGAAGAGAGAGTGACCAAATTTAAAATCACACAATTTATTTGGACATAAAACAAATATAAAAGATCTTCTTGTTTCATCTCCAAAATTCTCTTTACAGACGGAAATCGATGCTGCTGTCCAACATCCTGGCTCTGATTGGTGGAGGCCTGATGGGTTTATCCAGCATGTTCACCTCCCATGAGTTGGTGATATTGGGCCGTCTGGTGATTGGTGTGTTCTGTGGCATGTGTACAGGACTGACACCCATGTATGTGGGTGAAATTTCTCCAACGGCACTGCGAGGGGCTTTTGGCACCCTTCACCAGCTCGGGGTGGTCATCGGCATCCTGGTTGCACAGGTTAGATTTTCCTATGGATAAATGTAAATAGGAGATAAGAGGTTGAAATTAACATGATGGTTTTGGGACTTTTTTGAAAGTTGAAAGCTTCAGTGCTTCCTTATTCATTGTATTTTATGGAAAGTTTATCAGAATTGATCCTTTTATATTTTACAGAAGAAAGGAAGTCATTTGGTTTTGTAACATACTGATAATAGACTTAAAAATTAAATTGCAAATAATTATAAATGGATCATCTTTGTGGATGTTATGGTAGATCTTAGGTCTGGAGTCATTGCTGGGGTCTCAGTCTTTGTGGCCGTTGTTGCTGGCTATGACGACGCTGCCTGCAGTGGTACAAAGTGTTATGCTGATCTTCTGCCCAGAGAGCCCTCGATACCTGCTGATCAGTCTCAACCAGGAGGATGAGGCACGCCAAGGTGAGACTGCTCAAGAGGACTAAAAAAAGTCTTTAGAAGCATCCCATTTGGATCTAGAAAGAGATCTAGGACACATGCGCAACTCACCAATTAGCACTGCCTGAACTGAATTGTATTTACTCGTCTCTTCCATACTGACTATGTTGATCTTTCTCTCTTCTGCTCTCAGTGCTGACACTTCTTCGTGGACATTCAGATGTGGAGGATGACATTCGTGAGATGAAGGAAGAGGCCATGAAGATGTCCATGGAGAAGAAGGTTTCTATTCCAGAGCTGTTCCGTAACTCCGCCTACAGACAGCCCATTATTATCGCCATAATCCTGCAGCTGTCCCAGCAACTGTCCGGCATCAACGCTGTGAGTCTCCACACTTTCCCCCCATCAGTGACATAAAAAGTTTACATAATGATCTTTGATTAGCACGTTTTCCCAGGTGTAAAATACAGTATAACATAATATACTTGTAAATAAAGTATGTATAATGTCCATATTAATTTGAGTTAAAGGGATAGTTCACTTTGAAATTAATTTTTGATATGTTTTAGCTTACCTCAAGGGCATCCAAGATGTAGGTGTCTTTGTTTCCACAGTATTTTTAATTTTGATATTTTTAGGTCAAACCGTTCTTGTCTGCCAGTCATATAATGCAAGTATGGGGGTCCACCTCAAAGAGCATGCACAGAGAAGTCCAAATTAAACATGATTTAATGACTCGTAAATGTAAGTACACATTGATGGCCTAAGACACGAAACGAGCGATTTGTGTGAGAAAACGAACAGTATTTATATCGTTTTTTTCCTCTTGTAATTACAGTCACGTCCAAGTACTCTGAGGGCGAGGGCGTTTCTATCTGCGCAAGCGCCGGAAGTGATCTCTCTCGTGTGTACGTCACTCATTGTTTACTCTGAGATTTCGGAAGCGTTACCTTTCACCGTGAAGATCTGAACATATTTAGATATACTGGAAATTGCAATGGAAGACGATTTCAATGTATATTATCAACAGACAACGTTGAATTTGTTACGCAACCGCGCAAGAGATCACTTCTGGCGCTTTTTCCAGCGCTTGCAGCCTCAGATCACTTGGACGTGGCTGTGATTACAAGAGGTAAAAATGATATAAATACTGTTTGTTTTCTCCCACAAACCGCTCGTTTCGTGTCTTAGGCCATCAGTGTGTACTTACATTTACGAGTCATTAAATCATGTTTAATTTGGACTTCTCTGTGCATGCTCTTTGAGGTGGACCCCATATACCTCCATTATATGACTGACAGACAAGAACGGTTTGACCTAAAAATAGAAAATACTGAAAATACTGTGGAACCAAAGACACCTACATCTTGGATGCCCTTGAGGTAAGCTAAAACATATCAAAAAATAATGTCAAAGTTCAACTATCCCTTTAATTTGCTCATTGGAAAATTTTATTTTTCAGTCAAGCATAAACCTAAAAACATTTTATGCATTTTATGCCAATGAGAAGTCAAATAAAGTTAACATTCTCTTTAACAAGTCATATATGAATATATCTTCAAGTATTTTCCCGTGAACAGTTCTAAATGTTAAACTGCTGCGTTTCTGAACATTTTCCAGGTAATTTATTACTCAACAGAGATCTTCAGAGGAGCAGGTATCACTGGACCAGTCTTTGCCACCATTGGAATGGGTGCAGTCAACACCATCTTCACTGTCATCTCTGTGAGTTTACACAGCTGAGCTAATATACTCACATAAACAAACATTTGAAAAGAACTGTACTGTAGGTAAACAGTCGTCAAACTTATTTCACCACCCTTAAATTAAAAATGTCATGCCCTTATATCTGTTCAAATACTTTTATGAGAGTGTCCTAAAGAACAGTGTGTTGGTGTTCCCACTGCTTTGCTCAACAGCTCTTCCTGGTGGAGAGGGCAGGGAGAAGAACACTTCATATGATCGGACTGGCTGGAATGACTGTCTGTGCTCTGCTCATGACTATTTCTCTTAAACTTGTGGTAAGTTTTGATATACAATATATAATTAAATAGATATGATCATTAAATGGGCCTGCATGATAAACTACTGATCTTCAGAAGTGAAAGGGATGGATTTAACAAGAGAGACATACCATTTTTAAAATTCATTCTCTTTTCTGATCTATTGAAGCCTGAAGTTGTCACACTTGATCAGAATGGCACTGCTATCTTCGAATCTGCATCTGAAGGGGTCAGTGTGTGATCTTACAAATGAACGCCAACTTATATTTATGTGAGATTTCATTCACTGAAGTGTATCATTGCTCTTTTTTTCCTCTCTGCAAATGATTCAATTTCCGGCTAGCAGGGAATTTCACCAATCAGCATTCTGGCCATTCTGGCAGTTTTCGGATTTGTGGCCAGTTTTGAGATGGGACCAGGACCGATCCCATGGTTCATAGTGGCAGAGTTATTTTCTCAGGGTCCACGTCCGGCCGCCATTGCTGTGGCGGGATGCTGCAACTGGACGGCCAGTTTAATTGTCGGACTGTCTTTCCTACCACTATTGGTGAGAAATTTGTCTCAGAATTCAGCAGTAACATATTTTGTATGGACACAAGAGCTAAACACATTATTATGGCCATGCTTCCTTTCTAGAAACTGTGCGGCCCGTATGTGTTTATCATATTCCTCATCCTCCTCATCATCTTCTTCGTGTTTACGTACTTCCGGGTTCCCGAGACCAAAGGCCGGACGTTTGAGGACATTTCCAGTGGATTTTCCAATGCCGCAGGCTCCAATGCTGCCAGCTACACGTCTCCAGAGGGTGCCATTTCTCTGCCAGTGTCCCCGTCATCAGAGAAGTTTCAGATGACTGAGCTGACAGGACAGGAGAAAAGTGGAACAAACCTATAGAGAAACCATGATCTACACACTAAATAGACTCCTACAGCGGACAATAGAGAACAGATGCGGATAAATATTGGGCATTATTACAAAGGAAATAGCTCGTATGGTGTTGAAAGCCTTTTTACAGTTGGCAATTATAAAGTCATTATGAGCAAATAAGTGTTACATGTGGGTACAGCTACCTTTTGCTAAATTGAATGTTTAGATACAGAGTTGTTGCATTTTAGATAACTTATGTGTGAGCACTAAGCACTTGTGCATAATCATGTGGAATATTAAACTTATTACTTATATTTAAATATTTATTTAACAAATTTCTCATACTGCCCAAAGACTGAAATCAGACTGAATTTACGCACTAATCAGACTCACTAATGGCCTTTTAATACTTGTACTGTTATGGCCACTATTCAGGTCTTGAGCATCTGGTCTTTTGTGCAAAGGAGTTCTCATGTTCAGTGTCAAAATTTGATTATTGATTAGTGACCTATACAGAATCTAAAAAAGATTCATCAGTGTTTAAATGCTATTATTCATCCCTGAAGTATTTCTCATGACGGTTGTCACTAGGCCTGACTGAATGAACACAGGACACAGAATCATATGAAAGTTAATCATGACGGGCCAGCAATCACAATAAAACATTTATTGTTTAACATGGACCAATGTGCATATATTTTCAGTATTTTCCCTATTTGTGACTGTTACTGTAATATTGCTCAACTGTGTAAATATATATATTGGTTTGTTTACATTTCTTACTTCATTTTGTTGCACTCTGATTGCATGATTGTGATTTCAGGATTTATTTTCTGGATTTTTACCAATATGTACCAACGGTTTTTTTTTTTTTTTTTTTTTTTTGAGTGTTTTATATATTTATATATTTTATTATATTTATAGCTTATTAAATATAATTAATTTTGTTACCAAATTGTGATGTTTTTACATTGCTTTACCTTTGCTTCAAGCACAATGTCCTAAAAATAAGTATATTTAATACATTGAGCAATGCTTAGAAGCATATTTTGTGAGACTGGCCTGATCATTCTCACATAATTTGATTTGACTTGCATATTTGTGGCTGTTTGCATCACAGGAACTCTTTTAGATAACTGTCTTATGTGATGTGTCATAACATGCATCCCTGTCATGAGACATTATATCATCCAGAAAAGTCACATGTTAATATTCCTTTATTTGTAAGTCAATCATGATGATAGTTTAATCTAAAAATTGCGTCTGATTTATTTTTAAGTGAGGCTATTCAAATGCGTTTTAGAACGCTATGTAAAAGCTTTGTTCAAAATTAACTAAATAAATAATCAATCCTATTTTTGTTTTTAAATAAATCAGTCCTTTTTCCAAAACATGTTTTTGTCCCTGATTCTTTCAAGTGACGTGACGTAACGTAAAGGCCATAAATGGAATTTGTCCTATGCATTTATCCCATCCAAGTTAGTGCACATTAGCAGTTAGTAGTGAACACACACACACACACACAGTAGCGCGGGCTGCGACTGCCAGCCATTCACTTCGGCGCTTCGGAGAGCGAACACAACGCCCAAGGTGAGCCAAATTCAGTGGCCCAAGGCTGGATTTGAGGAATCCTGGATGTGTGGGACCGGGAGTGGCATGCATGGGTCCTTTGTCACAACGAGCAAGAAAGGTGACATGAAGCACGTTAAATCTCAAAACTTCCTTGAATCTCAGGTTATAAAAAAACGCAGACAGAGGAGATGATCTGCTGGCAACGTTTTTTTATCACGTTTTTCTATGGGTAGAAAATGCTTAACGTGTAAATAAACGCGTTGCCTTCATATTCTGGACTCATCTTATTTTTCTATACATAGTATGGTTTATTAATATGATGTGCACTGAGTTTGGTCTTTTATATCACTAGTAGGCTACAGTAAGCACGTTTAGCGTTTTTCACATTAAAGTCCCCGTGAACCGGAAGTTGCAAACGATTTTTCTCCAGTGCTGTGTGACGTATTTCTATTTCCAAGTGAAACGGAATATTGAACAGAGGGCAGGGTTTTACTCTAGCGCTCCTCCTCTCCATCTCTCGCTCATAGCAAACTAACGGTTTGAGGGGAGTGGTTAAGCGTTTACCCGCCCAAACTGTGAAACCTACCTCATCAGAAAAAGAAACCGTTCCAGACCGGAAGTAACTTTTCAGATTTTGATTAAAGATTACTAAGGTAAAACATTTTTTTAATATATATTCACTTGCACGGATTAATTGTTCACCACAAGACTAGTAATATGCGCTAACAAAGTAAATAGGTTCAATTTTGATTTCACGGGGACTTTAAGCGTTTTAGAATGTCCCCAAAAAGGATAGCGCGACAGAGCTCGTAATAAAACGAGAAACGTTGGCTTGCAGAGGGATTTGAAGTGTTGTAAAACTGCGACGCAAAGATGGTGATTAAAAACTGCATACATTTTGAGGAAGAACATTGTTTTGGTTGTGCTTAGGCTCTGTGTGACTGCGGGTGTAGGCTACTGCTCTTAAAACATTCACTAGCCTACTAACCAGATGCAGTGCAGTGCTGTGCTGGATAATATTTTCAAAGAAGCGTCTATAGCTTCAGGGAATGGGCCCATCTTCAGCTATAGGCACTCAGCTAAGCTGAACTATCTAGTTGGCTAGTGAATGTTTTATGAGCAGTAACATACTCCAATGCTTTTAACCGCTAGGCCAAGTTACATAGTGTAGCCTGCTCACTTTAATTAGACGTAAAAAATTTAAATCTTGAATATGTGGTTCTGACATGTTGTCATATTTAATTTAATTTCACTTAGCCTGCTCATCCAGTCCTTGGTGAACGAATTTGAATTTCATTAAAGGACAAGCTCGCGCCCGAGACTCAAGCTTCAAGCTAACTCCAGTCCCGACTGCGCAATTGGATAAAATAGAGGTCAATTATAATAAAATGGTAAGATTGGGGCGAAGATGAACAGCGGAATGACTACAGGAGTGACATTTCACAACAGGCTGTTATGAAAGCCCATTTCAGCTTTTCTAAATCATAATTGTCATTGAAAAGTAATATTTATGAGAAGAAAAGTTAGAAATTAAAATAATTTGAATTAGTAGATTAATCTTTTTACTTTTTCTCATTATTATTCTTAGGCTGTAGCCTAATTTATTTTTATGTATTTCTTGTCATATGTCTTAGCATGTCATAATTACGACATTATGTCAAAATTGTTACTTGTTTTATGCCCTTACCAAAGCAAAATTCCATAGTGTGTGCACCACCAATGTCTTCTGCAGTCGCTATGTGTCCACCAGAAGGCGCTGTTTTCAAAGAGATAATTATACAACATTCAGGAATACAACAGCCTCTATGTGCCTGTCTGTATTGAAGAACCTTTGTACGTATATACAGTATGTGTGTGTGTGTGTGTGTGTATGTATGGAAAATAAGAAGTAGGCCTAACCAAGGCCAAAAGAAAATATTCAAAATATGTATTTTTTTTTTTTTTAGGGAAAAATGCAGCAGTTGAAAGAAGAGAAGAAAAGAAAACACACAGGCAGGGTTCCAAGCTTCTTTTACTGAGTGATGCATATTTCCAATCTGGCTCGCCGTGCCCGATCAGCATGCCAAACCAGAGCCTTCACCAAATGTGACTGTGAAAGTGCCTGTCTCCTGCGTGTCTAGACACTTTTTTCTGCGAACTAGCCCAACTCGTTTTAGGCTTTCCATCACAGTGAGTAGCTAAAGTCAGTTTACCGGTCCCTTCATCTCTCTCTCTCTCCTTGTTCTTTGCTCAGTGACTTCTCAGTCATAATCATCATCATACATAAATACTCCTCCCTGCTCCCCCACCCCCGCTCTTTCTCTCCTCTCTTTAATCTGAGATAAAAACGAATAGACAGACTCCTCCTCCCTCTCTCTCTCTCTCTCTCTCTCTCCTCCTGTCTCCCTCTCCTGTGTTCTTCCTCTCTGGACTCTTCTTGTGTGTTGCTCTGATGGAAATGTGGAGGATCTTTCTGTCTGTCTCTCTTGTGGTCCAGCACAGTTCAGCTGAAGAAGGTATGAAACTTCCTTTGCTCCCCCTGGTGCTCTCAGACCCCCATGTGTGTGTGTGCGTTTTGGGGGGGCTCCTACTGTCCGGTCCGGTTCAGAGTGTGTGTCAACATGTGTACGAGTCTCTGAATGAGTTTTCAGGTCTGTTTGCGATTCAAACAGTTCACTTTCAATAACATCTGCACATGTGATCGCTGTGATGCATGTGTTAGTGTCAGTCTGAGGCTGGAGATCTGAACAGACCCTTGTACTGTATAATGAGTAGCTGTTTATGAGTTACTGTGAATTGAAGAGCTCTCTGTGGATCCTGCCAAGCTGCGTTTATGCTTAACAAAAGGTTGTAGAATAGAGCCAGCGGAGGGGTGAATAATTTGTTGTGTAACCTTTGTCTCTCTCTGACCCATTCAACCCCCCCTTCTCAACTCTCTGCCCCCTTTTTTCTGATATTATAACTGTTATAAGCTCTCTCTCCCCAGCCCGTTCAACACTGTGATAATACAGACACCCACTCACTCAGCATATCTCTTTCTTTCTCTCTCTCGGTCTCATTTTTCTATTGGCTAAATGGTGGTTTCAGTCAATGCGTTGCAGACATGAGCAGTTTAAATAGATGGATTGATGAAGTTGGCATCTCATAGTGAGCTCTTGTGAAAAAGCTCTCAGTGACTCATTTTGTGTGTGTGTGTGTGTGTGTGTGTGTAAGGTATTTGGAATGCCAGAGTCTGTTATGAACATGCCTTTTCACAGACGCTTATTTACCACAGTTTTTTTTTTCTAACTTATCTGAATCTGTTATTGTGCTTTGCATCTCTGCTCGTATTAAAAATGCAATATGAGACTGTATTCATTGTATAAAAAAAGTCAAAGGAACTATTTCTACCTGATCTAACTGTCAAAAATTACTTTTTCGGGTGAAACCAAGGAACATTGCCCCAGGACGTCCCATAATCACCTCTTTTGGTGATTATGAGCCCCTTTTCTCCCAGGTTCAATTGGTAGACTACCCTGCATAGTACTATATAGTCTTTTAGTGGGACACACACACACACCCCTTCTACACAGGTAGTCAGGTTGATTCTATCTACAGTAGTTTCACTTGCATAATCACTGTTACCAATTGTTGTAGATAAATAAATTATAGATTCAAAGTACTTGGCATGATTTTTATACAATATTGCTAAAACATCAGTGCACTGCATGCACACAAAAATTGTGACAAAAAAAGAAAATAAATAATAATAAATTTAAAAAAAATTAACAATAAGTAATATAATAGTAAAAAATAATAAATAATAAGTTAAAAAAAATAAAAATTAAATGAAAATGCCAGTAATGGTAGGTAGGAACTAGGAATATAATCAAATGAATTCTTTGATTAAAAAGCATTAAATAAAAGAAATGTCTTCCAAAAGGAAGATGCTGCACTTCAGTCCCAAAACACAGACTCATAGCTCTAATGATTCTAGGTTCCCTCAAGGCCATATCTCTAAACTAATTCAGCAAATCCCTTTACCTGCTCGCCGATAGCCAAATTCTATACCTTTCATCACATTTAACTAGTCCACAGCCATTCCCCCAGGCCCATAACTCTGAACTAATGCAGTTGTGCCTGCAGTCCTAGAGCAAAGGCCTGTACCCTTCATCACCTTTAATTAACTCAACAGCCATTCACATAGATGCTTCCTGTCTATTCACATAGAGTCCCCTGCTTTCAAGATCTCGGGAAGGCTTTTGTTGGTCTGCTAGCGACAATAATCACATCAGACATCGACGCTCTAAATATATATCTATATATTTAGCCTTTTGCAATTCAAAAAAGTTATTATAATAATAAAGTCACTGGCCATTACATATAGTGACACCTAGTGGTGTGAATGCAACATCAACAACAGTTATCAGTTACTGCTATTGTAAGGCTGTTTGTTGTCAGCAATCATTAATTTATGCTGTAAGCCAAAGTTTCAGGTAACAAGGGGTTACCAAGATAAACCGGGGAGTATTTAGCTGGTCATGTGATCTTAAAATTGTGTTTTTTTTTTAAGGTCCCCATTAGGTGACCTGCTCCAATAAAATAGCTTTTATAAGGCTACCAAATCTTTCAGTTATATGATTTCAAATGTAGTTTTATGAAAGCTTGTTTGCGCCTTGGAATAAAACAATTTAAAAGATATATCATAATTGCGAGTTATAAAGTCAGAAATCAAAGATATAAATGCGCAATCCTGACTTTTTCTCACACTTGCGAGGTTATATCTCACAATTCGGAAGGTTTTTATCTATATATACAGTATATATCATGCAAATCTGACTAAACTCGCAATTGCGACTTT